TCATCAGGATGATGCAGACGTTTCATTTAAATGGTGTCACCAAGAACTCAGTCAGCTTCTGGATTCTGTAGCTCCCTCTACTGTCAAATCACGTACCCTCAGAAGCAGAATGCCAAGGTACAACGATGACATCAATATTGCTCGGCGTGTAAGACGTAGCGCCGAACGTAAATGACTTAAAACGAGATCTTCCGATGACCGAGAGAAATTCCTACAAGACAGACGCAAAACATCAAACCTGATATGTCAGGCCAAGAACAGGTACTGCAAGGAGAAACTCTCTTCCTGTAATACAAAGGAAGCTCTACAGAACGCAAGAAATGATCTTAAATCGCTTGTTATTTCATATCTGATGAAGTCACAATTTGTTCACGACATAAGGCCAGGGTTCAAGTTTTATAAGGTTTTATCGTCATCACTTTAACCGTTTTCAGGAGCTTTTTGTTTTTTTTTATTTGAGGGTTCTGCAAATCTCAGTTGACCTAGTTTTACGCTGCCATGCAATAGGTTTTGTACGCGTTCAAGTGGCCAAAATGCTTGTGTCTCTTCTTGAAAACGCAAAATGCAATATATCGAGATGTCTGCCTCTTGCATCATTAATGTAATTTGGAAATTACTGATGTTTTGCTTACAAAAACATGTCAAAATGGTTAAGTACTGTAACGGGGACCCCCTTATGGAAGCCACGCCCACCGTGAATTGACACAAACTAAAAATAAATCAAACACGAGACAAGAAATGTTGGTCTCAGGAAAATATATGATATAATTAATTCGCTGAGCAATCACAAATTGATATCACTCGCCCCAAAAAATATAGTTGCATTATTAAACAAATGTAAAGGGCCATGCCCATAGCGCAATGGAAAGTCAGCTCGGCCAGGAGCACAGGAAGCTCAAACATAGTTTACCAAATAAATATAAAGAAAAGTACACTTACATAAACTGTTGAGGAGCTCGCTCGACGGACGGCGGGTAAAAATTAGACAAAAATGAAAAGTAGCTACACTCCCACCTGGGTAGCGAAACTAAATACAAAATAAAGTACCGCCAACCGCCAAGCTAAGCAAGTGTCCCCAGACACACCGATGTAAGGAATGCCTCACCCAAACCAGTGACCATGGGCCTTTATATACTGCATGTGCATTCAAGCATTGAATACTGTCTGCAGTCTACAGATCCTTTAATAATAATAATAACACGTTCTTTCTAGCGCATTTCAGGACCGCCAAAGCTGGCAATGCGCTTTACAATTCATTATTTGTTAAGACTTTGATAAGAATGTCCCAGGAATTTAGATACAAACTTAAGAAATACCAAAAGACTTTGATAAGAATGTCCCAGGAATTTAGATACAAACTTAAGAAATACCAAAACCTGGGTGGGGTAGCAAGGCTGGCCCTTGCTAAACCCATACAAAGTTAAATAATGAAATGCATTCCAATCCATCAAGAAGACTATCATTAAGAGACCTTAATTTGTTACAGTGCAATGTTTTAAAGCATCATAGTGAAAAAATCGAAATCGAAAAAAATGGTAATTTTTGACATAATGTGTTTCTTTGTGAAAACGGTGATGATTTAATACAAGAGTGATCAGAACAGTATGAAATTCGATCATTTTCCGGATTCAGCATATTTTGTTAATTTAGTCAATAGCGCTTGCCCTGTACAGACGTAAACATGCTACGTCCAACGAAATAAGCACTATACGTTGATGAAGGGCAAAAAAATATTATTTAAATTTACACCTCTCTTTCGAAAAACGTTATGACAAGAAAGTGAAAACCAGTGAGCGGCATTGCTTACAACAGGTGACACAAATTGATATTATTTTACGGAAAAAAAATCCACGAAATGGGTCGGCTTTACTTTACTCTCTAATACAATACAGTACAATACAATACACAGTTTTAAATTTCAAAGAACGAGAAGAACATAATGATTTCACATTTAGTACATAGATATATCGAAATTGGGAAATAATCTCTCAACATTGTGCACTTACTTAGAGGTTTATTTTAATAGGGTGGTCTCATTAAAACTGTTATCCTTAGAAGCCCTATACACAGGCCCGGATTATCAAATAGGCACAGCACGGTGGGGCCTACGAAAAATTTGAGGGCCTACGAAAATACCGCAGAGTGCCATAAAACACCTACACCAACAACCACATTTGCTACGCCCGGACATCCAATTTGGTTTGCAGGAGCTTCTACATGTAATTTCGTGGTTGGTCAGTCGGTCGGTCGGTGTTCTGTCCCCGGAAAATTGACCAAAAACGAGCCCCCTTAGTTTCCCATAAAATACCAAATTTTAATTTTCACCCCCAAAAAACCTAGACAAAATAAATGAAATACTTCACAAACATTGTTTGTGACAATTTGTGAAGTTGTTAATGAAAATTTTGTTAACGGAGGCAAGTTATGGGCAGTAATGTTGTGGTCACGTGGTATGTCACGCGGTATATAGCGTACTATATTTTATGGGAAACTTAGGGGGCTTTGGTCATTCACTGGTGCGGAAAGGAGACCGGTGCCCCGTTCGACATTCAACGTTGAGACATGCATAATACTAGTACCGGCTGCGTAATTTTTATTCCTAGGAGGGTTAGGGGCAATGTCATGAATAATTCATGTTTATCTATGAGAACGGACAATGACATCAACAGCATCGTTGTTAGTTACTCAACTAGTTACAATACATTAAAGCATTTTAAAGAACGGTTGTCGTCGAGCTACCACACAGTAGCCTAGTGGATAGCGAGATGAGCTATGGATACAAAGATCCCTGGTTCGAATCCACGTCGTCGCTGTTCATTTTCATCAGCTATTTTTCTTCTCCAAATTTATCACTGAGATAATTTTAAGTTAAGGGGAAAATAGAACGAGAACCCAAGTCTTGCAATGATTCAAAGGAAAAACTGAATTATTCATGACATTGCCCCTAACCCTCCTAGGAAAAAAATTACGCGCACCGGCTACGTTAACGCAGACCACGTCAGGCAAGGAAATATTTCAGGCAAGACTTTCATGGCAGACGGCCAGAGCTTATTGTGCACTTGCACTTGTTTTTTATTTTTTAGTTTTAGCGTTTCTCTCGGAGTTTCGATTTCACCAATTGACGCACTTATACGTAACTCCATGTATATGTACGTACGCATAAGATTTACGTTATTAGTTATCGTTCTGATGCACGGTACCATCAGGCTTTTATAATAATACTAAATTATAATTAGCATTTATATAGCGCCCGAAAATCCATAATATGCTCTCAGGCGCTGTACACATTAAAAAGATAAAGTAATACAAATTAAATATAAGTGAAGGTGTAGATCAATAGATAAAAGTACATTATAAGCCCTGTGAGTAAAATTTAGCCATTAAAAACCATTACCTATGAATTAAAAAAGCCTGCTTAAAAAGGTATATCAATACATAAAAAATACACTACAAGTCCAGCCATTAAAAACCATTACCTATGAATTAAGAAAGGCCTGCTTGATGAGTTTTTAAACCCGACTTAAAAATCTGTTCCTTGGAAAACTCCCTAAGGTTAATTTCAAGCTGGTTCCACAGGCGGGGACCAGCCACAGAAAACCTCATGGCATTATGGCTATATAATCAAGACGTGTCTAGCGCAGAACGAGCAAATATAGTTGGAACTCTAGTACTTAGGAGCACACAACTAATTAGGAGCACAACCAATTCCACGGACCATGGAGACAATTACCAAGAGACAAACTTTAAATATCACCCTATACTTGACTAGCAACCAGTGCAGTTGCGTGAGAGCTGGAGTGATGTGATCATACTTTTTTGTACCAGTGAGCAGCCTGGCTGCAGCATTCTGTACCCTCTGCAAAGGGGCCAGGGATGAGGTAGGGAGACCTACTACAACAGCATTACAATAATCAATAAGAGCAGTAACCAGCATATGAATTATCTGCTCTGTGGCTGATTGACCAAGATATAGCTACTAGTTTGGCCTGGCTTGCTTAGCACAGCTTAGCATCAACATGAAATTGGTGCCGGTAATTAGGGTTGAGTAGCAGGGCCTACGGAACACTGGTGCCTAGGGCCTACGGAACACTAAATCCGGCCCTGCCCACTGTATAGAATTGCAGAATACTAAAAAAAAAAATTGAAATGAATCAAAGGTTGATAAATTAAATTAAAAATGACATTAAAAATCTTAATGAAAAACAAACGATTTAAAAATTCGAAATGTGACAATTCCTAGAGAAGGAAAAAGGATACCATTCCGAATGGACTAAACCAAAATTATAAAATACACCACAGTAAAGTTAAGAGGTTGTGGAATGCTCGAAGACATTTCCGTCATTTTTCGGGTATATGTAGCCTAAGGTGTGACGAAATAAAAACGACTATTGTTTCTGTCATGAAATGAGTACAACAGGTACTTTTGAGAGCTGTTTTCCAGGTCCAGTTTCGACCCGAACGTGCAACTGTGTAAAAGTCGTCGTTGCGGGCAGCAAACAAAACACAGTAAATCGTGACGTAATAAACAGGACTTGTGTATGCTACTGTGCATCGGGAGTCCTGTTTATTTCGTCACGATTTACTGTGTTTTGTTTGCTGCCCGCAACGACGACTTTTACACAGTTGCACGTTCGGGTCGAAACTGGACCTGGAAAACAGCTCTCAAAAGTACCTGTTGTACTCATTTCATGACAGAAACAATAGTCGTTTTTATTTCATTACACCTTAGGCTACATATACCCGAAAAATGACGGAAATGTCTTCGAGCATTCCACAACCTCTTTAAGGGAAGGGCAAAAAGCCACGTGATATAAGAAACTGCAATACCCTTAAAAATGTACAAATTATATGTGTAATTCTTTATAACGGAAATGAGAAATATTTAATAACATGTGCAAATGTCAAGCAATAAAGACTAAATAAAATTTAAACTGCTAGTAAAAATAGAAACTTAAAATTTATTTTAGAAAAGATACTGAGAAGTGTATCTGCTCCACGTTATTTCATATGTCATCCACGACATCCGTGACATGTTTTGAGATGGAGTAATCAATTTGTTACAGTAAACACTTTAACATCAGTTATCGATAGTATTTGGAAAGAAACTAAGATTTTTGTTTTCTTCAAGTGTATCAACGCCCCGTCTTCATTTGAGCATTAGCTTGGTAATTCTACAAGTTTTCTTTTCCCCAGATAAATAGAATTCCTTGTTTGTTGATTTACAGCCTGTTTGCCATGGCCTGGGTATCACACACATTCTCTTCTTTCAATTCAATCTCATCCATCTTCGTATCATCAATCTTCGTATAATCCATAGCCTCGTTATGATCCCCTTTCACTCCACTCTCTACCATCTCATCCATCTGCAGCTGAACAATAGCCTCGTTATCAGAGGCATTTTCCTCACCCTCTCCAATATCGTTCATTTCAAGTTGTTCTATGGCCTGGTTATCATACACATTCTCTTCTTCCTCTTTCATCCCATCTTTCTTCTGTGGATCTGTAGCTTTACCAGGGACATACCCCTCTATCCCATTACCCCCATCACCGACATCAGTCAAACGCGACTGTGATTTGAACTTGGTGTTTGATACGGATGGTGAGAAGGATCCACTTGTCGCCGGTGTCTTGTGAAAGCATCCGAGGACCTTGCCTCGCACGTTATCCTGTCGGACGACGAACAACAGGAAGATGAACAGACCTTGCAGGGAGTTGAAGACGCAGAAAAGGATTTGGAAGACGAAGTTGGAAGACTCGATGACTGAGAGGAGACCGAAGGCCCAGGTAAGACCGAGAAGCACTGAGATGGCAGCCATGTTCTGCAGCCGCTTGGCCATCTGACTTCGCTTGCCTTTCGTGTTGGAGCTTTGGATCACTTTAGCCTTGCAGGTCAAGCGACGGGCGATCAGGACAAAGATGAAGGCATTGTAGAGGAAGACCAGACCGATCATGAGCAGCTGACCGTAGTAGAAGGCTGCACCGGGCTTCAAGAAACAACTGCAAATTGAAATCATGCATACTTTACATAATTACACACTGTATATTACTTCAATTATTGTACATGATATTCAATGTGTAATACAGCATTATAATGCATAACGTTTGCATCTTGTTAGTGTAATGTCCTGGGCCGAATTAATTTAGGTTAATTATCGCTAAACCAATGTGTAAATTCCTCGTTGATACTAGGAGGATATCAGTGTACAAAGTGTTGCTTTGAAAGGTTGTCCAAAATATGTACTTCCTTTCTATTCAAAGCACACTGTGATTGGGTGTTATGCTTTGAAATCTAGGTGAACATTTGGACTAAAAGTTCGAGTAAAAATATCATAATCATCAAAATAAATACGAAGGAAAAATATTCAATTTACTCTTAATCAACATACATTTTGGAAAATTTCACCGCGGTGGTATTTGATCCAAAGACCTCAGTAACCGAACAAAGTGTTTTACAATCAACGATGTTTCAAGATCTCAATGGCTCTGTTCATTTGGCTATAGTCAATTTGAATCCCTCTACCAAGTGTTGCCAGTGTACACGTCATTTCATACCTGCTTTCATTTTCATAAACCGTGTAATCCACTGCTAGTATTACACCAACAACAATCATTGGCATTCCTGCAAAAGATAATTATATAATTTCCTTGAGCATGCTGGCAAAAACAATCACAACATTACAAACGAAATAACAAATCTAAGCATCCAAAACATTAACCAAGATGTCTCTGTGCAATTCTGATGATATTTTGCATTCTGCAAACATATGACACATTGTAAAAAAAAAAAAGGAATTCGTTCTCAATTTGAATTTATAGCAGCTATAATATTATGATTGATTACATTCATTGATTCACATCACCCTATAGTGTGCGCTCCTCCATCAACTTTCTAAGCAATAAAGAGGGGCAGTAATAGGTGGATAGATTTCATTTTAACAACAATCTCACAAATCATACTCAATAAGGTGAATCAATATTCTTTATCTCCGCGTCACTGTCCAATTTTGAGAACAAACTGATTTTTTAACTGATTTTAAAATGTGATGCTGGATACACCTTCTTAAAATCATAACCACCACGCTTCATTTATACGTTATGATTGAAGACAAGTCGACCCCCGTCACTTTAATATTTGTCTACGTTCCATTAATATTGACATGTCATACTCACCCCAGGCAGCGATAGAGGCTTTGACCATGAAGTGTTCCACGTTAGAGTTGAAGACTCTAACGAGTTTCAGATAGAGGTTGGTTGCCTCGACTCCCATCCATGCCATGGAGCTAAGAGTGAAATAGTGCATCAACACAGCAACGATGATGCAACCTATGCGAGACGATGTCTGCTCAATACCAACCAGGAAGACCAGATAGAGACAGAGCAGAGAGAAAGAGAAGCAAACTAAGATGCGACTTGGTGTCTTCTCTCGCAAGGACCTACCGGGAAAATTGAAACAGTGGATTGGATATAAGATGCATAATGGTATAACGCTCATTTCCGACACTACATGTATACCTAAACAAATCAACCATACCTAATGAACATAACATGTCCCCTTTTGTGGCTTTAATGTCATGACCTACATGTAAGTCGTAAATTCGTTTTTCCCAGGAGGTGTGTGTTTAGCAGATTATTCATGAGACGGTTTTTCCCCAGAATTATTTGCCTATCATTCAAATGAAACAGAAGATGTACTTTATTCATAAATACGATTAAGTCTCATTCTTACTTGATGGCGAGGTATATGATGATGGTGAAAACAAGGGAAGCAATGGACACAGCACATCCAATCTTACTGATGATATCCAGAGCTAGGCTCGAGTACTTTTGGCCGTGAATGTCCTGAAAAAGATCAAAGTCCCTTTAAAACCGAGCTTTTGTTGTTTCATCTTCTTAACCAGTATTTTGAGATTGAAAAAAAACCCTTTCTCTATATAATGAGTTGAATATCTAACCACGAGTACTGCAAAGCTGGTAGCATGATCACAGTGACACTCAGTCCTCCCGCTGATTGAGGTCACTAGTCTGCAGCCCTCTGGTGACCAATCCCCGACGCCATCTTGGAGTTCGTTATCCCAGAAAACGCACTGCACCGTCCCTTCCATCACCTGCGAATTGAAAAGCCACTTTTAACATTCAACGATGATTGTGCATCCATTTGTTTTACAGTATAGTTCCACAGTATTGCAAAACAATTGACGTTATCACAGTGGTGAATTTCTGTTATTTGTCGTAACATTTGACTCTGAATGTGATGTTATATGCTAAATGATATTACAGCCCTATGACCGATTCGTGGTGATATCATTATGCTTCGCAACTAATGAATATCCTCCCATCAATAATTTGACATCTTACTGGATTTTGACCAAAGGTAACAACCACCGGATTGTCTTCTGGTAGGTTCTCGACATGGACACCAACCACCGTAGCAGAAATGATTGCACTATCCACAAACCGACGGGAACCATTGGACTCGGCATCAGCAATCAGCTTCGAGCTAAACAACTTGCTGGTTTGATACACGGTGAAGCTAATGGGTACCGGACTAGCAGCTGTTGAGCGTAAAATACATGGATGGAATGTATTTTAAGAATCAGGCTTTGTGTAGCCCAAGGGGTTGGACTTGATTTAGTGCCAATACATAGTTTTGATTGGAATATAGTAGAGAGATTAGTATTTTATGTACGTTTGAGAAGGGTCATCATTTGAGTTTTGAGCCTTTTCAGCAGTGGCGTAGCCAGGAATTTTTCAGTGGGGGCACTGGGGGGGGGGGGGGGGGGGGGGGCTGGAACATTTCATGGGAGGGCGTCATATAGATCAATGATAATTGTTTTAGAAACTCAAAATCTCAGTGGGGGGGGGCGACGAGGTTTCAGGGGGGCTACCCCCCCCCCCCCCCCCCCCCCCCCCCCCCCCCCCCCCGTGGCTACGCCACTGCTTCTCAGTTTTATTCAGAAGTAAACTGTTTATGAATATTTGTAACAAAAAAATACAACCAGAAATGGACTGAGAGAGAATTAAGATAATGCTAAGTTAGTGCACGCCTGCAGTGAGTTAAATAAAAAAGAGAGAGTTACATTCCTTAAAGACATATAGTCAACAAAAATTGTGATGACTATAATAGCGTATACATATCTTGGACATTTTTTGTGCACTGACTGTTTACACGTCAAGAAAGTGTGACAGTCACCGTGACGAAAAACAGGAATTCTTTCTGATGCAATTACCCCCCCTCACCCACACCCACCTGTTGGATGTTTGAGTAATATCTCATCAGAAGATGAATGGACGATTCCACTTTCTCTGCAGGGTAATCAGAGACAGAGTAGTAAACACTGACACTATCATTCTTCAGGACGCCATCCGTAGACTCTCCCTCGATGACAACGAATCCCACACCTTCATCTAGGGAGTTTGGAGGGATATTTAGCGCCTCGACAGCGAGACTAGGTGTAACCGCGGTAAAGTTCGCTCCGTCTGCGAGAACGTACGAGATTTGACTGTCGAGAGCTTGTACAAAACGGGATGCCGTGGAGTCTCTGTCGGGTACTTTGTCGAAAGCCTCGTCATCGACCTGTAGGAGGTTGTTGACCACACTCACAACACTTGATGTTATCTATGTATCAGGAAATACAAATGGACGATCCACTGAGTATCGATTTTAAATTGGAATAGTCTAATATAATCAGACACAAATTGACATGGGTCATTAACATAAGGGATCCCACTTCTGAGCAGTGTTGACACTGTGTATATGGCAGGTATATTAAGGCTCTCTAACGAAATGAGAAAAATCATTAATAACAGACAAGATTTGTTAAGTACACTTAAATCGCTCCAAAAGGTTTCACGAAGCATCAGTATGAACAAGAAGCTTCCAAATTGATAAATCGGATGCCATTTTCTACGAACGGTGACATAATTTTTTTATTAGAATCAATTTTTTGAGTGATTTTGAACGCCAAGTCACTTTTCCACTATCCTCTTTCAATTTTCAAGATGAAGTCATGCTAGTTGTTTCAAGCTATCGATATATCTTTTTGTGTCACAAGGTCTTACCTCTGGGGAAGGATCCCGGATTGTCAGAATATTATCCAGGACGTCAGCCACCAATGCCACAGCTTCACCGTTGATTGATGAGGCATCATTGGTCAGGGATTCCAGAGACTCCGACACCTCCACCACGTTCTCACTCGTTACCGTTATCTGCAGAATCAGACAGAAATTGAAGGAACGTGCACGCAAAACATGGCGTTTTGGATGTTAGAACGAGCACGCCTTCGAACATTAGAGCACAGGATGTTTAAGAGTCCAATATTTATTTACTGAAGAGGAAGTAAAAGACTAGTGCACCTTGTTCATAATTAATTATCTTGATTCAGCATCTTTTGATCTTACCTTTTTCAATATATCCAGCTGACCATTGACATCAACGCTGCAATTTCCCAAAACGGGTTGAAGCCACTGAGCACCCATGGTGAAATCCCCCGAACAATCTCGAGTGATGAGAACGCGACCTTAGGAATACATCTAAAGGTCAACTTGAGCAATGAACATTGGACTCCGCCGCCATGATGTATTGCCATAGCAACCACAGGGCTTGAGAGCTTCCTCCAATCGTTAAACCTGAACATTATCTTTATCAGACAATCAGTATTTCGTTATTTCTTCCAGGAATAAACTAAAAATGCACGAACATAATTTACAAGCAACTCTAATGCAAGCCAATATTAAAATATTCGGGGGGTAACACACTGAGTATACAGTGTTCAAACGTCGGTGAAGGGCAAAACCTAATTTGATTTATATCACCCCGACGCAAACATTCCATCTTATAATAGTTTATGCGGTACCCGCTGCTATGTACATCAGATTCGAACCAGCCAGCCGATCCCGTTAGCTCGGTGGTCGAGTGGTAAGACATCTGCACTAGAAAGCAGGAGGTCGTGGGTTCGAGTCCCACCCGAGTGATTTTTTCCAACTTTCACTCGGGAGGTAACACACTGAGTATACAGTGTTCAAACGTCGGTGAAGGGCAAAACCTAATTTGATTTATATCACCCCGACGCAAACATTCCATCTTATAATAGTTTATGCGGTACCCGCTGCTATGTACATCAGATTCGAACCAGCCAGCCGATCCCGTTAGCTCGGTGGTCGAGTGGTAAGACATCTGCACTAGAAAGCAGGAGGTCGTGGGTTCGAGTCCCACCCGAGTGATTTTTCCAACTTTCACTCGGGAGGTAACACACTGAGTATACAGTGTTCAAACGTCGGTGAAGGGCAAAACCTAATTTGATTTATATCACCCCGACGCAAACATTCCATCTTATAATAGTTTATGCGGTACCCGCTGCTATGTACATCAGATTCGAACCAGCCAGCCGATCCCGTTAGCTCGGTGGTCGAGTGGTAAGACATCTGCACTAGAAAGCAGGAGGTCGTGGGTTCGAGTCCCACCCGAGTGATTTTTTCCAACTTTCACTCGGGAGGTAACACACTGAGTATACAGTGTTCAAACGTCGGTGAAGGGCAAAACCTAATTTGATTTATATCACCCCGACGCAAACATTCCATCTTATAATAGTTTATGCGGTACCCGCTGCTATGTACATCAGATTCGAACCAGCCAGCCGATCCCGTTAGCTCGGTGGTCGAGTGGTAAGACATCTGCACTAGAAAGCAGGAGGTCGTGGGTTCGAGTCCCACCCGAGTGATTTTTTCCAACTTTCACTCGGGAGGTAACACACTGAGTATACAGTGTTCAAACGTCGGTGAAGGGCAAAACCTAATTTGATTTATATCACCCCGACGCAAACATTCCATCTTATAATAGTTTATGCGGTACCCGCTGCTATGTACATCAGATTCGAACCAGCCAGCCGATCCCGTTAGCTCGGTGGTCGAGTGGTAAGACATCTGCACTAGAAAGCAGGAGGTCGTGGGTTCGAGTCCCACCCGAGTGATTTTTTCCAACTTTCACTCGGGAGGTAACACACTGAGTATACAGTGTTCAAACGTCGGTGAAGGGCAAAACCTAATTTGATTTATATCACCCCGACGCAAACATTCCATCTTATAATAGTTTATGCGGTACCCGCTACTATGTACATCAGATTCGAACCAGCCAGCCGATCCCGTTAGCTCGGTGGTCGAGTGGTAAGACATCTGCACTAGAAAGCAGGAGGTCGTGGGTTCGAGTCCCACCCGAGTGATTTTTTCCAACTTTCACTCGGGAGGTAACACACTGAGTATACAGTGTTCAAACGTCGGTGAAGGGCAAAACCTAATTTGATTAATATTAAAAGAGGGAGCGAATAAAATTTAGATAAAAAAAGAGTGACGTTGTTAATGAATTTTGAATAAAAGTAAGCTGTTGTATCTACCGTGCTTTTCGCCAGCGACGCATTCTCCCAATAATTCAATCCAAAGTCCAACTCTAGTTTGCGGGAAGATCACATTCTTGCCTTCTAATTCAAGAACTTCACGTGGACAGGAAGCTGTGAATAGGACATTCAGTATTTTTAGGTAACAGTTATTCCAAAGATACATTACATTCATTTCCATCAAATTTTTAACACTACCTTTCATCAGAGCCAATTGTCTTCAAGCCATTAGGAAGAAATTCGAAAAATGAAAACAAAAAGAAGTCTGCGTTAATTTACAAAAAAAGGAATGCAATTGATTTTTAAATCATCATGATGCTATAGATTGACAAGTATGGTTACGGAAACATTTTCCTAACATTGATTTACAACAACGATATTTTAATAGACATGTAGATACATTCGTCATGTACTCACAGAGTGACACCACTGTAACGCTGTTGGGATCGAGACCCAGTCCTGGGTTAGTGGAGGCATGCGCAGACATGGCTGTTTGTAAAGACAATACCGTATGTGCATCAGATACGTTGCTAGGAGAATCAACGATAACTTTGAAAACAACGATAACACTGCCTGGATAGAAGCGCAGAACCTCGTAGCTAACCACAGGCTGGTATATCATATCCAACGGCATCTACAAAACAAAATGTGAGAGAAACAAGAAAATGAAACGGATCAAAACAGACAATCGCCAGCCTGTCATAAGTGAGTACGTTTTAAGTATACTTTTGTCTAGATGATCGATCAGTTTGAACGAGGTAATCACGCTGCGACACCGCACGTGATTTTTTATCATAATTTGAAACGGGCTTAACGGCTCAGTCATAGCGTATATCATATCTAATTTACCAACTGGGGATTTAGCTTTTAGGAAAACCGGGAGGGGGGGGGGGGGGTGAGGGAAGGGGTTGATTGAAGGCGTGTCAAAGGAACGACGTGCTTGGGGGACCCCCTCTATATAGATCCGCCACTGCTACCCAAAATCCAACCCAAAAATATGTTAATGTTGTACAGTGAATACTTTGACATTTCAAAATGTTATTGAAATGATTGAAATTTTTCGATAGGCAGCAGAATCATTGACACAATTTATTTGTCGTCATGTACAGAACGAACTTTTGCTGACAAGAACGATAATATCTTTTTGCCAAGAAATACGACAACGGAATACTGCGACATAGCGATGCCTCTTTACATGTAGAATATTCCAAGTTATTATGTTAAGGGTCATACCTTGCTGCGTAATTCATCCGTGAGGTTCTTGAACGCAGCACTGGATGCATTGCGTAGTTCGTCGGTAAATGTTCCATTCACAAGCGTCATGTTTGCCATCAATGTGGTGATGCCTTGAAATGGGAAACAGAGGGATTGTTCATTCCTGTGAAGAGTTTCTTAATGCAAAATGTTCCCTTCATTGCAAAATGTCCCCTTCATTGTAGGTTAATGATAAAAAAATAACTGTCTAGTTAGGTTATGACCCTTAAATTGCATAACGCAGTTTTTTTTAAATGAACCCAATCCGCACCTGATTTCATAATGATGGCTTGGTACTCCGCGGTAACATTGATGAGCGGCCCTCGGCCTCTTCCAACACACACGTAAGCTCCTTGGTTCCGGAGTTCCTCAAAAGAAGGAAAGATGAGAGCGTAGCCATTGGTAACAAAGTCACGCTGGCCGTCACTGTTGATTCGGTACCATTCGTAGCTAGCTGCATTCTCAATTGGGCACTCAACTGGGAAAGGCTGATTACTCGGCAAGTCACTAGGAACCTCAATCAAATAGCGGGCAGAAGGTGAAACGACCGGAGCTATGAGGTGAAAAAGTAAGTAACAGAGACAGTTTAAGAGAGTCTTGTGAAATTTGGAGCAAGAATAGCGGAGAAATCACTAGAAAATAATCCGAGGCAGCCTTGGTATATCAGGAATGTAACACGTAGCCTAAATGTCAGAATCCGTTCAGTGAAGTTACCTGGTCCGGGTGCTGACGATTCCCGACATTGCTGATATGACATATACTCCTGCTGCAGTCCATTACCGCATTTCAATTCCTTGAACTCAGTCTCAAGTCCAGTCCACTCTTTGAAGAATGCTTCACAGTCGTCTCCTTGCTCGCACTGTATCACTGAGAGTTGTGCTGTCATCAGTACACCTTGCAGCAAGTCCTCCACACCTTGACTGGACATGACTGACAGGATCACATTAAAGACCCCGATTTCCAGAGCAACAGGTGGAACAAGTTGCAGGTCCAATTTCATTGCAGTGTCGTTCAAACTCAGCATTGTGCCGTAACCGTCGCGATACTCTTGATTGTAATAGTACAGAAGGTACTCTTTTCCAGGCGATGTAATCCTTACATCGTACGTAAGCAGTGGGATAATTTTCAAAAATATGGTTGAGTTGACTTTTATGCTAAATTTGTGAGCGATCGCGGGATGGGCCATATTGAAATTGTAGTTATAATCTAAAGAGCTCGAACTGAGAAGATGAGGAGAATAACACCGAGGCGCAGAACGATACACTTTTAGTTTCTTAGCAAAGTAGACGTCCTCACAACCACACCCTGACAAACAAAGAGGCATTATTAACAGATTTTTTTTTAATTCATCGCAATGTGAATTTAAGGCGTTTTGGCAACCGTTCAAGCCCATAGTTCAGTGTCCTGCATTATGAACGTCTGAATATAACTGTTTGATCCATAATCTCAGTTTATTTTTGTTCCGAACATTGTTTGTATACAATTTCCTAGACTTCTATTTCAGAAATGTATGTTTTAACTTAATTGAAAGTCGATCTTAATAATGTAACTCGTTTCTTTGTATGACTTTCAATATACTGTTGTCCTCAATTAGACCTCTGGATAAATGTGTCATTTATAGAATAGAGAATATAGAATGTTGTCATGAATTTAAGTAGCGAAATTAAAACTGATTAATATATACTTATTTAACGTGTACGGTAGTGCTTTAAAGATTCTTATACATTACTTACCCCATTTGGCCACTGTAACTTCTCTACTGGGTTTAAAGTTGTCTATCAAACATCTAAATCTAAGTTAAACAAACAAAAAAGAAAAGTATATTAATAGTAGAGAATAATTACTCGGTACGTGCATGACTGATCCTCCGGGGTCAAGAAGAGACAAATTTGACAAAAACAATTACACTTTACGTCTGACATCTGCGACGTTAAAAAGTATTCGAAAACTGATGTCACTGTGATAATATCTTACACCATAATAGAAAAAAAAACCGTCAACGTGGATTTTAACAAATGGCATGACTGTATTCCATTTGATTGGTTTGCATTCATTTGAGAACATTGCTTTGTATTGAGCCAAACTTTCTGTTATAAGTATAAATCTCCATGAATTTGCTCGATACATAATTATTTTTATTAATTGCGTGTTGTGTTTTCCCGTCCAAATTGTACTGGTTTTACCTTTTAGGAGAGTCAGCAACAGCAACTTTCAAATAGACTGAATTCAAGCTGGACTGTAGTGTGGTCCCCTTCCCATCTATCCATTCTACTAGCGGTGGAATGTCACCAGTTCCCAGACATGACAAGGTGACCTCGTCATCTTGGAATGACGTCACATCAGGGCTGATATAAGTAAATGACGGTTGTTCTGGACAGTAATACAATAAACAATGTTAACGATAATGTTCCTTGATTACACCTTTTTTTAGGCATTCTGGCGTTAATCAGGTTTCACACAAAGTGTATTGCGTTTCCCTTGGGTGATTTTAACATAGCATCGGTGCAACGAGTTGAGCACATAAAAAGGTGTGCGTAAATCTTATATTTAATCACTGGCAACCGTGTATACATAGCGTCCAGTGCCGTAACTGGGAATGGCAAGAGGGCAAGGCCCCTCCCCCCCCCCCCCCGAGTGAGGCATGCGCCCCTCCCCTTGTGCCCTCCCCGCTCAGAATTTGAGGAAATTAATGATCTTGTTCTTGCTAGTATTGTACAAAACCCACAGAGTGCCTCATGCCGGATATGAATGAGGTCCGCCAATGTCCTCCACGAATTGGACCCTAATTACGCCACAGATCGCGACAGTACCGGTATTCCAAGCGCACCCATATACCCAGCAAACACACCCTTGTAAAATGTATACGAACTCACCCAGGCACTTGTCGTACATAGAAAAGAACATTTCATTGGTTTCAGGTACGCCACAAGTGGTGTTGTAAATGTGCTTAACGGACAGAATGCCCCTTCTCCACGCAGTGTATTCCGTAAGGCACTCGCAACCACTAAGGTATGTTCTGTAATACAGGGTGATGCAGTCAAGACAGGTAACGTTGACAGGTGTTGTAGAACTGCTCTGGGTATCCGTGATGTACTCAATGGTAACACTGATGTTTTGTCCGGGATCAACAGGGAGAGGAACCCGTAGTTCCTTTGCAACGACGGCATGGTCGTCATTGACCTGCACGGTCCAAGTTAAACACGACGATTATGATGCATCATACATCCAACTCAAAATTGAGCTAAGGTCTTAATTGATACTGCTTAATAATATTTATAAACTATTGCACAAAAGCGTTTATAATGTGTTCACTTGGTTTTACAGTGACAAAATTATATTGTTAAGAGTTTTCTCCGATGCCAAAATTGTAATAATACGTGTCGAGGAACCCTCATCCGTTCTAAATGTAAAATAGAGAACTAAACGCTCTAAACAAAAACATCAACTGCACGTTTTAAAAAAACAAACTACTTACCCAAATTGTTGTAGTATGTGAAGAGTATGTCAATGAAATGTTGACCAACGCTGCTTTGTAAATCAGCTCAGGAAAGTCCTGCACGATCAACTCCACCTTGATTAAAAGCACATTGGGAATAACGTACAGCTGTGATAAATCTTATTTATGAACTATAGAAAGGGAAAAAACTCCTTTAAATAGTTATCTTCGATGAGCTTTTAGGTCCGTCAAGTAGGCTTATGCATGTAAACACGTACACATGGATTTCAGAGTACGCGTCACGGATACACAAGCTGTAATGTACACCGCAAAACGCACATCGGAAACGGACACATTGATTATGATGCCTGAGGCTCCTACACTAAAGTCGTATCAAAAGCTAACTCACCTTGCTAAGGTAGGTTGACTTGGAAAACAATCTCGGCGCAGTGAACGTGTACACCGCCGTATTGCCCTCTAAGAAAGATTGCTTAATTGACAGGAGTCCACTCTGATCAATGCATAATTCTCTTACATTACTGTAAGCCTGGCAGAAAGTGTAGGCTGTGGAGAAACAAAATCAGATTCCATTTTCAACGACTTCATATGTATCCTTGTCACCTTTGAAAACTAATTCTTGTACTCCAATGTATGCTTATACTGTAAAGAAATTGTGTATTTCATTGCGTCAACATTAAAGCAAAATCTACTAGCGCGCGATCATGGTTGTAGATGATGCAATGGCTTCGGCGAAAAAGTCGACATTCACTACAACTAATTCAAATTCAAATGAACGGGTTCAAATGACACAAACAGGGGCTTCGGCACGGGGCGTTTATTGGCGACAAGGCTCCTGGCCGGGTTGAAATGGCTTGACTGTCTAAAACCGGCCAAGCACATAATCATTCCCATCGCATTCATAAATACAAATATGCGTAGTGCGTACTGCACAAAGGGCGCGAGCGCGTAGTGCTAAAATCTCCTTGTAATGGAGATTGGCGCGCGTAGCGCGTACTGCACATCATGCGCGAGTGGTGCAGAACGCAGCGGTGTTTTACCGGCGATATAAAACCAAACGTGACGGGCTCTCAACCAATGGGATTGGGTAAACTGTGTCAGGTATTTATGAATGTCAGTAAAAACCACACAAACTATATTAAATTTACTATCTTTATGGTTAAAGCGCTTAATTCCTTGTCGGATACTTACAATCGGAGGAGCACATAGTTGAATTCTCGTCTGAGTTATCGTGGTCACCACAATCGTTAAAGTTGTCACAGACTTGAGAACGAGGAATGCACACACCGTTCGAGCATTTGTGCTGGTCAACTTGGCAATCTTCATAAAAATGGTAAAAGAGAAAACCGTGAATCCCATCAAGTTATAAGCTATTTTAAATCAAGGAGAATGGACGAGGAACTGTTGATTGGTTCCAAGCCGAGTCCATTCTTGCATAATCTACTGCTCCGAATATTTTCCATTCACCACAATTCACAGTTAAAGATTAACCTTTTGTAAATGGTTTCTTTCAAGGGCCTCTGCTTAGCCTAAATAAAGGAAAGAGAGTTCAGTAAAAGATTCTTCGTTAAGACTAATACTGCCCTGTAACAGTAGAAAAAAAGACAAGTTGAAGCAAAGACAAGTTGAAGTAAAATCAAGCATATAATGTGAAAATTAGAAATAAAATAAAGATAAGAAATAAAATAACCCTAATTACCCCCAAACCCCTAATTAGGGTGTGTGATCCCCAGCACCATCTCGTGAAGAGGGGGGCCCACACTAGTTCCTGCCTGCAATATGTCCCCCCAAACCAATGAACTCTTTGGTTGGTTATACGAAGCGTCATCTCCCCTTCCTGATCCTACTTGTTATCAATCTCAAAACGCTCTCACTGTACACAAGCGGAGGCCCCAATTCAATGGCGAAATGTACATGCTGCGTATTTAAAATAGCCCTTGCACCGACATGTCCTTAAACTGTTTTATGTATGTAAACAACGGCAATCGTGGACTAGGGACAAAAGGGTTTGGGCACAAACAAAGGGTCCACGATTGACCCATAGTCCACGATTGCAATTAGTACAAACAAAGGAATAAGGATTAGGGATAAAGATGGGTGAGTGGACCTGGTAAAGTCCACAAAATGTTCACATTTTCTGCCCCTTGTGGACCTCTTTTGTTCACAGGTTTACAAAGATTATGTAATGTTACAACAGACGGATGGACAAGGCGGACACATTATGTCCCTTCGCCTTCGCTGGCACGGCATAAACGGTCCGGAAAAAACAAATGTCGTACTTGACAGTCCTGGCAGCCTTTGATACAAAAAAAAACCTTTTGGCTACTTTCTATTGCAGTACTCAGGAGAGAGAAATCTTTTCCTTTTTTTCTACATTGTTTATGCATGTGATTCAGACATGTATAAATTATGCATTTCCTTTCATTAATTTAATTGGGGAGTGTGGCCTAGTGGTTCATGACTCATTCTCAGAGGGTCAGGGGTTCGAATCCAGCTGCTGGTCACATGTTGTGTCATTGGGCAAGCCACTTCACCCCCACTTGCCTCTCTCCACCCAGGAGTATAAATGGGTACCATCATTAGCTGGGGAGTAACCTGTAATGGACTGGCATCCCATCCAGGGGGGGGGGGGAATTGAAATAGTCTCAGTCGTTTCATGCTACTGAAACCGTAGATAACTTACGCCGGCCTGTTGGGCCGCATAGGCTCGTGACAGACTTTACTTTTTCACTTTTCGCACCACGTCAAAAGCTGTTATTTGTCTGTTTACACGTCATATTTATTACTTAAGCCAATCAGTGGTCAAGATTACATTTACATTGGTCAATTGTGCAGTGTTCGTGTAATTTATGCTTTTCCTTGGTAAAATAACAGCATAGTACGTCTATTATTATTTAAGCTTATCCATCGGAAGCATAGCAGAAACCAACGTTTCCTTGAAAATATGTTTGCAAGTAGATAGTATTTTTTAAAATAAGTACAATTGAAATACACCGACTCACCAACAACTTTAATAATAAACTGGCAAGATCCATTGTTGTAAGCGCTGTCCCTTACACGACATGTCACTGTCGTTACGCCCAATGAATATGTACCATTAGACACCACGATATTTCCAGCTTCATCGTTACATGTGATGTTGTTTACAGTTAAGTTGTCCACATTATCAGTAGCTGATGGCATTGGTATCCATGTAACCACAGCAGACGACATTCCGAGGTCTGTGTCCTGAGACGGAACACTATTTGGGCAACTAACTTCTGGATCTTCGGTGTCTGCAAATGAATCAAAAGCATTTTCACTTCAATAAATAGCTCTTCTTCAAGTTTTCCAAAAGGGGAATTGTCTTCATTAACTTCTTCGTGATTAAAATGTTTACAATATTGCATCGATGGTAAATTTCTCAACTATCCTCTCATCATTTCTCACTCATTGTGGTCATACGTGTTGAAAAGGCATTTCCGATCCAATTATTCTCCATGCCGGAAATGTCAAATGTTTCAACAAAACTCACCTACAACGTTGATGACAAATTGGCATGATCCATTGTTGCCAGCGCTGTCAAATACAAGGCAGGTCACTGTCGTTGTACCCAATGAATAAGTACCATCAGACTCCACGACATTGCCCGCTTCATCTTGACATGTGATGTTGTTTATAGTGAAGTTGTCCACATTATCAGTAGCTGATGGCATTGGTGTCCATGTAACCACAGTAGACGACATTCCGAGGTCTGTGTTCTGAGACGGAACACTATTTGGGCAACTAACTTCTGGATCTTCGGTGTCTGAAAATAAATCAAAAGCATTTTCACTTCAATAAATAGCTCTTCCTTAAGTTTTCCAAAAGGGGAATTGTCTTCATTAACTTCTTCGTGATTTAAATGTTAAAAATATTGCATCAGTTGTAAATTTCTCAACTATCCTCTCATCATTTCTCACTCATTGTGGTCATACGTGTTGAAAAGGCATTTCCGATCCAAGTATTCTCCATGCCGGAAATGTTAAATGTTTCAACAAAACTCACCTACAACGTTGATGACAAATTGGCATGATCCATTGTTGCGAGCGCTGTCAAAAACAAGGCAGGTCACTGTCGTTGTACCCAATGAATAAGTACCATCAGACTCTACGACATTGCCCGCTTCATCTTGACATGTGATGTTGTTTATAGTGAAGTTGTCCACATTATCAGTAGCTGATGGCATTGGTGTCCATGTAACCACAGCAGACGACATTCCGAGGTCTGTGTTCTGAGACGGAACACTATTTGGGCAACTAACTTCTGGATCTTCGGTGTCTGCAAATAAATCAAAAGCATTTTCACTTCAATAAATAGCTCTTCCTTAAGTTTTCCAAAAGGGGAATTGTCTTCATTAACTTCTTCGTGATTAAAATGTTTACAATATTGCATCAGTTGTAAATTTCTCAACTATCCTCTCATCATTTGTCACTCATTGTGGTCATACGTGTTGAAAAGGCATTTCCGATCCAATTATTTCTCCATGCCGGAAATGTCAAATGTTTCAACAAAACTCACCTACAACGTTGATGACAAATTGGCATGATCCATTGTTGCGAGCGCTGTCAAAAACAAGGCAGGTCACTGTCGTTGTACCCAATGAATAAGTACCATCAGACTCCACGACATTGCCCGCTTCATCTTGACAGGTGATGTTGTTTATAATGAAGTTGTCCACATTATCAGTAGCTGATTGCATTGGTGTCCATGTAACCACAGCAGACGACATTCCGAGGTCTGTGTTCTGAGACGGAACACTATTTGGGCAACTAACGTCTGGATCTTCGGTGTCTGAAAATGAATCAAAAGCATTTTCACTTCAATAAATAGCTCTTCCTTAAGTTTTCCAAAAGGGGAATTGTCTTCATTAACTTCTTCGTGATTTAAATGTTAAAAATATTGCATCAGTTGTAAATTTCTCAACTATCCTCTCATCATTTCTCACTCATTGTGGTCATACGTGTTGAAAAGGCATTTCCGATCCAAGTATTCTCCATGCCGGAAATGTCAAATGTTTCAACAAAACTCACCTACAACGTTGATGACAAATTGGCATGATCCATTGTTGCGAGCGCTGTCAAAAACAAGGCAGGTCACTGTCGTTGTACCCAATGAATAAGTACCATCAGACTCTACGACATTGCCCGCTTCATCTTGACATGTGATGTTGTTTATAGTGAAGTTGTCCACATTATCAGTAGCTGATGGCATTTGTGTCCATGTAACCACAGCAGACGACATTCCGAGGTCTGTGTTCTGAGACGAAACACTATTTGGGCAACTAACTTCTGGATCTTCGGTGTCTGAAAATAAATCAAAAGCATTTTCACTTCAATAAATAGCTCTTCCTTAAGTTTTCCAAAGGGGAATTGTCTTCATTAACTTCTTCGTGATTTAAATGTTAAAAATATTGCATCAGTTGTAAATTTCTCAACTATCCTCTCATCATTTCTCACTCATTGTGGTCATACGTGTTGAAAAGGCATTTCCGATCCAATTATTTCTCCATGCCGGAAATGTCAAATGTTTCAACAAAACTCACCTACAACGTTGATGACAAATTGGCATGATCCATTGTTGCCAGCGCTGTCAAATACAAGGCAGGTCACTGTCGTTGTACCCAATGTATAAGTACCATCAGACTCCACGACATTGCCCGCTTCATCTTGACATGTGATGTTGTTTATAGTGAAGTTGTCCACATTATCAGTAGCTGATGGCATTGGTGTCCATGTAACCACAGCAGACGACATTCCGAGGTCTGTGTCCTGAGACGGAACACTATTTGGGCAACTAACTTCTGGATCTTCGGTGTCTGCAAATAAATCAAAAGCATTTTCACTTCAATAAATAGCTCTTCTTCAATTTTTCCAAATAGGGAATTGTCTTCATTAACTTCTTCGTGATTAAAATGTTAAAAATATTGCATCAGTTGTAAATTTCTCAACTATCCTCTCATCATTTCTCACTCATTGTGGTCATACGTGTTGAAAAGGCATTTCCGATCCAATTATTTCTCCATGCCGGAAATGTCAAATGTTTCAACAAAACTCACCTACAACGTTGATGACAAATTGGCATGATCCATTGTTGCGAGCGCTGTCAAAAACAAGGCAGGTCACTGTCGTTGTACCCAATGAATAAGTACCATCAGACTCCACGACATTGCCCGCTTCATCTTGACAGGTGATGTTGTTTATAGTGAAGTTGTCCACATTATCAGTAGCTGATGGCATTGGTGTCCATGTAACCACAGCAGACGACATTCCGAGGTCTGTGTTCTGAGACGAAACACTATTTGGGCAACTAACTTCTGGATCTTCGGTGTCTGAAAATAAATCAAAAGCATTTTCACTTCAATAAATAGCTCTTCCTTAAGTTTTCCAAAGGGGAATTGTCTTCATTAACTTCTTCGTGATTTAAATGTTAAAAATATTGCATCAGTTGTAAATTTCTCAACTATCCTCTCATCATTTCTCACTCATTGTGGTCATATCACGTGTTGAAAAGGCATTTCCGATCCAATTATTTCTCCATGCCGGAAATGTCAAATGTTTCAACAAAACTCACCTACAACGTTGATGACAAATTGGCATGATCCATTGTTGCGAGCGCTGTCAAATACAAGGCAGGTCACTGTCGTTGTACCCAATGTATAAGTACCATCAGACTCCACGACATTGCCCGCTTCATCTTGACATGTGATGTTGTTTATAGTGAAGTTGTCCACATTATCAGTAGCTGATGGCATTGGTGTCCATGTAACCACAGCAGACGACATTCCGAGGTCTGTGTCCTGAGACGGAACACTATTTGGGCAACTAACTTCTGGATCGTCGGTGTCTGCAAATAAATCAAAAGCATTTTCACTTCAATAAATAGCTCTTCTTCAATTTTTCCAAATAGGGAATTGTCTTCATTAACTTCTTCGTGATTAAAATGTTAAAAATATTGCATCAGTTGTAAATTTCTCAACTATCCTCTCATCATTTCTCACTCATTGTGGTCATACGTGTTGAAAAGGCATTTCCGATCCAATTATTTCTCCATGCCGGAAATGTCAAATGTTTCAACAAAACTCACCTACAACGTTGATGACAAATTGGCATGATCCATTGTTGCGAGCGCTGTCAAAAACAAGGCAGGTCACTGTCGTTGTACCCAATGAATAAGTACCATCAGACTCCACGACATTGCCCGCTTCATCTTGACAGGTGATGTTGTTTATAGTGAAGTTGTCCACATTATCAGTAGCTGATGGCATTGGTGTCCATGTAACCACAGCAGACGACATTCCGAGGTCTGTGTTCTGAGACGAAACACTATTTGGGCAACTAACTTCTGGATCTTCGGTGTCTGAAAATAAATCAAAAGCATTTTCACTTCAATAAATAGCTCTTCCTTAAGTTTTCCAAAAGGGAATTGTCTTCATTAACTTCTTCGTGATTTAAATGTTAAAAATATTGCATCAGTTGTAAATTTCTCAACTATCCTCTCATCATTTCTCACTCATTGTGGTCATATCACGTGTTGAAAAGGCATTTCCGATCCAATTATTTCTCCATGCCGGAAATGTCAAATGTTTCAACAAAACTCACCTACAACGTTGATGACAAATTGGCATGATCCATTGTTGCCAGCGCTGTCAAATACAAGGCAGGTCACTGTCGTTGTACCCAATGTATAAGTACCATCAGACTCCACGACATTGCCCGCTTCATCTTGACATGTGATGTTGTTTATAGTGAAGTTGTCCACATTATCAGTAGCTGATGGCATTGGTGTCCATGTAACCACAGCAGACGACATTCCGAGGTCTGTGTCCTGAGACGGAACACTATTTGGGCAACTAACTTCTGGATCTTCGGTGTCTGCAAATAAATCAAAAGCATTTTCACTTCAATAAATAGCTCTTCTTCAATTTTTCCAAATAGGGAGTTGTCTTCATTAACTTCTTCGTGATTAAAATGTTAAAAATATTGCATCAGTTGTAAATTTCTCAACTATCCTCTCATCATTTGTCACTCATTGTGGTCATACGTGTTGAAAAGGCATTTCCGATCCAATTATTTCTCCATGCCGGAAATGTCAAATGTTTCAACAAAACTCACCTACAACGTTGATGACAAATTGGCATGATCCATTGTTGCGAGCGCTGTCAAAAACAAGGCAGGTCACTGTCGTTGTACCCAATGAATAAGTACCATCAGACTCCACGACATTGCCCGCTTCATCTTGACAGGTGATGTTGTTTATAGTGAAGTTGTCCACATTATCAGTAGCTGATGGCATTGGTGTCCATGTAACCACAGCAGACGACATTCCGAGGTCTGTGTTCTGAGACGGAACACTATTTGGGCAACTAACTTCTGGATCTTCGGTGTCTGAAAATAAATCAAAAGCATTTTCACTTCAATAAATAGCTCTTCCTTAAGTTTTCCAAAAGGGGAATTGTCTTCATTAACTTCTTCGTGATTTAAATGTTAAAAATATTGCATCAGTTGTAAATTTCTCAACTATCCTCTCATCATTTCTCACTCATTGTGGTCATACGTGTTGAAAAGGCATTTCCGATCCAATTATTTCTCCATGCCGGAAATGTCAAATGTTTCAACAAAACTCACCTACAACGTTGATGACAAATTGGCATGATCCATTGTTGCCAGCGCTGTCAAATACAAGGCAGGTCACTGTCGTTGTACCCAATGTATAAGTACCATCAGACTCCACGACATTGCCCGCTTCATCTTGACATGTGATGTTGTTTATAGTGAAGTTGTCCACATTATCAGTAGCTGATGGCATTGGTGTCCATGTAACCACAGCAGACGACATTCCGAGGTCTGTGTCCTGAGACGGAACACTATTTGGGCAACTAACTTCTGGATCTTCGGTGTCTGCAAATAAATCAAAAGCATTTTCACTTCAATAAATAGCTCTTCTTCAATTTTTCCAAATAGGGAATTGTCTTCATTAACTTCTTCGTGATTAAAATGTTAAAAATATTGCATCAGTTGTAAATTTCTCAACTATCCTCTCATCATTTCTCACTCATTGTGGTCATACGTGTTGAAAAGGCATTTCCGATCCAATTATTTCTCCATGCCGGAAATGTCAAATGTTTCAACAAAACTCACCTACAACGTTGATGACAAATTGGCATGATCCATTGTTGCGAGCGCTGTCAAAAACAAGGCAGGTCACTGTCGTTGTACCCAATGAATAAGTACCATCAGACTCCACGACATTGCCCGCTTCATCTTGACAGGTGATGTTGTTTATAGTGAAGTTGTCCACATTATCAGTAGCTGATGGCATTGGTGTCCATGTAACCACAGCAGACGACATTCCGAGGTCTGTGTTCTGAGACGAAACACTATTTGGGCAACTAACTTCTGGATCTTCGGTGTCTGAAAATAAATCAAAAGCATTTTCACTTCAATAAATAGCTCTTCCTTAAGTTTTCCAAAGGGGAATTGTCTTCATTAACTTCTTCGTGATTTAAATGTTAAAAATATTGCATCAGTTGTAAATTTCTCAACTATCCTCTCATCATTTCTCACTCATTGTGGTCATATCACGTGTTCAAAAGGCATTTCCGATCCAATTATTTCTCCATGCCGGAAATGTCAAATGTTTCAACAAAACTCACCTACAACGTTGATGACAAATTGGCATGATCCATTGTTGCCAGCGCTGTCAAATACAAGGCAGGTCACTGTCGTTGTACCCAATGTATAAGTACCATCAGACTCCACGACATTGCCCGCTTCATCTTGACATGTGATGTTGTTTATAGTGAAGTTGTCCACATTATCAGTAGCTGATGGCATTGGTGTCCATGTAACCACAGCAGACGACATTCGGAGGTCTGTGTCCTGAGACAGAACACTATTTGGGCAACTAACTTCTGGATCTTCGGTGTCTGCAAATAAATCAAAAGCATTTTCACTTCAATAAATAGCTCTTCTTCAATTTTTCCAAATAGGGAATTGTCTTCATTAACTTCTTCGTGATTTAAATGTTAAAAATATTGCATCAGTTGTAAATTTCTCAACTATCCTCTCATCATTTCTCACTCAGTGTGGTCATATTACGTGTTGAAAAGGCATTTCCGATCCAAGTATTCTCCATGCCGGAAATGTCAAATGTTTCAACAAAACTCACCTACAACGTTGATGACAAATTGGCATGATCCATTGTTGCGAGCGCTGTCAAAAACAAGGCAGGTCACTGTCGTTGTACCCAATGAATAAGTACCATCAGACTCTACGACATTGCCCGCTTCATCTTGACATGTGATGTTGTTTATAGTGAAGTTGTCCACATTATCAGTAGCTGATGGCATTGGTGTCCATGTAACCACAGCAGACGACATTCCGAGGTCTGTGTCCTGAGACGGAACACTATTTGGGCAACTAACTTCTGGATCTTCGTTGTCTGAAAATAAATCAAAAGCATTTTCACTTCAATAAATAGCTCTTCTTCAAGTTTTCCAAAAGGGGAATTGTCTTCATTAACTTCTTCGTGACTAAAATGTTTACAATATTGCATCAGTTGTAAATTTCTCAACTATCCTCTCATCATTTCTCACTTATTGTGGTCATACGTGTTGAAAAGGCATTTCCGATCCAATTATTTCTCCATGCCGGAAATGTCAAATGTTTCAACAAAACTCACCTACAACGTTGATGACAAATTGGCATGATCCATTGTTGCGAGCGCTGTCAAAAACAAGGCAGGTCACTGTCGTTGTACCCAATGAATAAGTACCATCAGACTCCACGACATTGCCCGCTTCATCTTGACATGTGATGTTGTTTATAGTGAAGTTGTCCACATTATCAGTAGCTGATGGCATTGGTGTCCATGTAACCACAGCAGACGACATTCCGAGGTCTGTGTCCTGAGACGGAACACTATTTGGGCAACTAACTTCTGGATCTTCGGTGTCTGCAAATAAATCAAAAGCATTTTCACTTCAATAAATAGCTCTTCTTCAATTTTTCCAAATAGGGAATTGTCTTCATTAACTTCTTCGTGATTAAAATGTTAAAAATATTGCATCAGTTGTAAATTTCTCAACTATCCTCTCATCATTTCTCACTCATTGTGGTTATTTACGTGTTGAAAAGGCATTTCCGATCCAATTATTTCTCCATGCCGGAAATGTCAAATGTTTCAACAAAACTCACCTACAACGTTGATGACAAATTGGCATGATCCATTGTTGCGAGCGCTGTCAAAAACAAGGCAGGTCACTGTCGTTGTACCCAATGAATAAGTACCATCAGACTCCACGACATTGCCCGCTTCATCTTGACAGGTGATGTTGTTTATAGTGAAGTTGTCCACATTATCAGTAGCTGATGGCATTGGTGTCCATGTAACCACAGCAGACGACATTCCGAGGTCTGTGTTCTGAGACGAAACACTATTTGGGCAACTAACTTCTGGATCTTCGGTGTCTGAAAATAAATCAAAAGCATTTTCACTTCAATAAATAGCTCTTCCTTAAGTTTTCCAAAGGGGAATTGTCTTCATTAACTTCTTCGTGATTTAAATGTTAAAAATATTGCATCAGTTGTAAATTTCTCAACTATCCTCTCATCATTTCTCACTCATCGTGGTCATATCACGTGTTCAAAAGGCATTTCCGATCCAATTATTTCTCCATGCCGGAAATGTCAAATGTTTCAACAAAACTCACCTACAACGTTGATGACAAATTGGCATGATCCATTGTTGCCAGCGCTGTCAAATACAAGGCAGGTCACTGTCGTTGTACCCAATGTATAAGTACCATCAGACTCCACGACATTGCCCGCTTCATCTTGACATGTGATGTTGTTTATAGTGAAGTTGTCCACATTATCAGTAGCTGATGGCATTGGTGTCCATGTAACCACAGCAGACGACATTCGGAGGTCTGTGTCCTGAGACAGGACACTATTTGGGCAACTAACTTCTGGATCTTCGGTGTCTGCAAATAAATCAAAAGCATTTTCACTTCAATAAATAGCTCTTCTTCAATTTTTCCAAATAGGGAATTGTCTTCATTAACTTCTTCGTGATTTAAATGTTAAAAATATTGCATCAGTTGTAAATTTCTCAACTATCCTCTCATCATTTCTCACTCAGTGTGGTCATATTACGTGTTGAAAAGGCATTTCCGATCCAAGTATTCTCCATGCCGGAAATGTCAAATGTTTCAACAAAACTCACCTACAACGTTGATGACAAATTGGCATGATCCATTGTTGCGAGCGCTGTCAAAAACAAGGCAGGTCACTGTCGTTGTACCCAATGAATAAGTACCATCAGACTCCACGACATTGCCCGCTTCATCTTGACATGTGATGTTGTTTATAGTGAAGTTGTCCACATTATCAGTAGCTGATGGCATTGGTGTCCATGTAACCACAGCAGACGACATTCCGAGGTCTGTGTCCTGAGACGGAACACTATTTGGGCAACTAACTTCTGGATCTTCGGTGTCTGCAAATAAATCAAAAGCATTTTCACTTCAATAAATAGCTCTTCTTCAATTTTTCCAAATAGGGAATTGTCTTCATTAACTTCTTCGTGATTTAAATGTTAAAAATATTGCATCAGTTGTAAATTTCTCAACTATCCTCTCATCATTTCTCACTCAGTGTGGTCATATTACGTGTTGAAAAGGCATTTCCGATCCAAGTATTCTCCATGCCGGAAATGTCAAATGTTTCAACAAAACTCACCTACAACGTTGATGACAAATTGGCATGATCCATTGTTGCGAGCGCTGTCAAAAACAAGGCAGGTCACTGTCGTTGTACCCAATGAATAAGTACCATCAGACTCTACGACATTGCCCGCTTCATCTTGACATGTGATGTTGTTTATAGTGAAGTTGTCCACATTATCAGTAGCTGATGGCATTGGTGTCCATGTAACCACAGCAGACGACATTCCGAGGTCTGTGTCCTGAGACGGAACACTATTTGGGCAACTAACTTCTGGATCTTCGGTGTCTGAAAATAAATCAAAAGCATTTTCACTTCAATAAATAGCTCTTCTTCAAGTTTTCCAAAAGGGGAATTGTCTTCATTAACTTCTTCGTGACTAAAATGTTTACAATATTGCATCAGTTGTAAATTTCTCAACTATCCTCTCATCATTTCTCACTTATTGTGGTCATACGTGTTGAAAAGGCATTTCCGATCCAATTATTTCTCCATGCCGGAAATGTCAAATGTTTCAACAAAACTCACCTACAACGTTGATGACAAATTGGCATGATCCATTGTTGCGAGCGCTGTCAAAAACAAGGCAGGTCACTGTCGTTGTACCCAATGAATAAGTACCATCAGACTCCACGACATTGCCCGCTTCATCTTGACATGTGATGTTGTTTATAGTGAAGTTGTCCACATTATCAGTAGCTGATGGCATTGGTGTCCATGTAACCACAGCAGACGACATGCCGAGGTCTGTGTCCTGAGACGGAACACGATTTGGGCAACTAACTTCTGGATCTTCGGTGTCTGCAAATAAATCAAAAGCATTTTCACTTCAATAAATAGCTCTTCTTCAAGTTTTCCAAAAGGGGAATTGTCTTCATTAACTTCTTCGTGATTAAAATGTTTACAATATTGCATCAGTTGTCAATTTCTCAACTATCCTCTCATCATTTCTCACTCATTGTGGTCATACGTGTTGAAAAGGCATTTCCGATCCAATTATTTCTCCATGCCGGAAATGTCAAATGTTTCAACAAAACTCACCTACAACGTTGATGACAAATTGGCATGATCCATTGTTGCCAGCGCTGTCAAATACAAGGCAGGTCACTGTCGTTGTACCCAATGAATAAGTATCATCAGACTCCACGACATTGCCCGCTTCATCTTGACATGTGATGTTGTTTATAGTGAAGTTGTCCACATTATCAGTAGCTGATGGCATTGGTGTCCATGTAACCACAGCAGACGACATTCCGAGGTCCGTGTCCTGAGACGGAACACGATTTGGGCAACTAACTTCTGGATCTTCGGTGTCTGCAAATAAATCAACAGCATTTTCACTTCAATAAATAGCTCTTCTGCAATTTTTCCAAATAGGGAATTGTCTTCATTAACTTCTTCGTGATTAAAATGTTTACAATATTGCATCAGTTGTCAATATCTCAATTATCCTCTCATCATTTCTCACTCATTGTGGTCATACGTGTTGAAAAGGCATTTCCGATCCAATTATTTCTCCATGCCGGAAATGTCAAATGTTTCAACAAAACTCACCTACAACGTAGATGACAAATTGGCATGATCCATTGTTGCCAGCGCTGTCAAATACAAGGCAGGTCACTGTCGTTGTACCCAATGAATAAGTATCATCAGACTCCACGACATTGCCCGCTTCATCTTGACATGTGATGTTGTTTATAGTGAAGTTGTCCACATTATCATTAGCTGATGGCATTGGTGTCCATGTAACCACAGCAGACGACATTCCGAGGTCTGTGTCCTGAGACGGAACACTAGTTGGGCAACTGACTTCTGGATCTTCGGTATCTGCAAATAAATCAAAAGCATTTTCACTTCAATAAATAGCTCTTCTTCAAGTTTTCCAACAGGGGAATTGTCTTCATTAACTTCTTCGTGATTAAAATGTTTACAATATTGCATCAGTTGTCAATTTCTCAACTATCCTTTCATCATTTCTCACTCATTGTGGTCATACGTGTTGAAAAGGCATTTCCGATCCAATTATTTCTCCATGCCGGAAATGTCAAATGTTTCAACAAAACTCACCTACAACGTTGATGACAAATTGGCATGATCCATTGTTGCCAGCGCTGTCCAATACAAGGCAGGTCACTGTCGTTGTACCCAATGAATAAGTACCATCAGACTCCACGACATTGCCCGCTTCATCTTGACATGTGATGTTGTTTATAGTGAAGTTGTCCACATTATCAGTAGCTGATGGCATTGGTGTCCATGTAACCACAGCAGACGACATTCCGAGGTCTGTGTCCTGAGACGGAACACGATTTGGGCAACTAACTTCTGGATCTTCGGTGTCTGCAAATAAATCAAAAGCATTTTCACTTCAATAAATAGCTCTTCTTCAAGTTTTCCAAAAGGGGATTTGTCTTCATTAACTTCTTCGTGATTAAAATGTTTACAATATTGCATCAGTTGTCAATTTCTCAACTATCCTCTCATCATTTCTCACTCATTGTGGTCATACGTGTTGAAAAGGCATTTCCGATCCAATTATTTCTCCATGCCGGAAATGTCAAATGTTTCAACAAAACTCACCTACAACGTTGATGACAAATTGGCATGATCCATTGTTGCCAGCGCTGTCAAATACAAGGCAGGTCACTGTCGTTGTACCCAATGAATAAGTACCATCAGACTCCACGACATTGCCCGCTTCATCTTGACATGTGATGTTGTTTATAGTGAAGTTGTCCACATTATCAGTAGCTGATGGCATTGGTGTCCATGTAACCACAGCAGACGACATTCCGAGGTCTGTGTCCTGAGACGGAACACTATTTGGGCAACTAACTTCTGGATCTTCGGTGTCTGCAAATAAATCAAAAGCATTTTCACTTCAATAAATAGCTCTTCTTCAATTTTTCCAAAATAGGGAATTGTCTTCATTAACTTCTTCGTGATTAAAATGTTAAAAAATTGCATCAGTTGTAAATTTCTCAACTATCCTCTCATCATTTCTCACTCAGTGTGGTCATATTACGTGTTGAAAAGGCATTTCCGATCCAATTATTTCTCCATGCCGGAAATGTCAAATGTTTCAACAAAACTCACCTACAACGTTGATGACAAATTGGCATGATCCATTGTTGCCAGCGCTGTCAAAAACAAGGCAGGTCACTGTCGTTGTACCCAATGAATAAGTATCATCAGACTCCACGACATTGCCCGCTTCATCTTGACATGTGATGCTGTTTATAGTGAAGTTGTCCACATTATCAGTAGCTGATGGCATTGGTGTCCATGTAACCACAGCAGACGACATGCCGAGGTCCGTGTCCTGAGACGGAACACGATTTGGGCAACTAACTTCTGGATCTTCGGTGTCTGCAAATAAATCAAAAGCATTTTCACTTCAATAAATAGCTCTTCTTCAAGTTTTCCAAAAGGGGAATTGTCTTCATTAACTTCTTCGTGATTAAAATGTTTACAATATTGCATCAGTTGTCAATTTCTCAACTATCCTCTCATCATTTCTCACTCATTGTGGTCATACGTGTTGAAAAGGCATTTCCGATCCAATTATTTCTCCATGCCGGAAATGTCAAATGTTTCAACAAAACTCACCTACAACGTTGATGACAAATTGGCATGATCCATTGTTGCCAGCGCTGTCAAATACAAGGCAGGTCACTGTCGTTGTACCCAATGAATAAGTACCATCAGACTCCACGACATTGCCCGCTTCATCTTGACAGGTGATGTTGTTTATAGTGAAGTTGTCCACATTATCAGTAGCTGATGGCATTGGTGTCCATGTAACCACAGCAGACGACATTCCGAGGTCCGTGTCCTGAGACGGAACACGATTTGGGCAACTAACTTCTGGATCTTCGGTGTCTGCAAATAAATCAAAAGCATTTTCACTTCAATAAATAGCTCTTCTTCAATTTTTCCAAAAGGGGAATTGTCTTCATTAACTTCTTCGTGATTAAAATGTTTACAATATTGCATCAGTTGTCAATATCTCAATTATCTTCTCATCATTTCTCACTCATTGTGGTCATACGTGTTGAAAAGGCATTTCCGATCCAATTATTTCTCCATGCCGGAAATGTCAAATGTTTCAACAAAACTCACCTACAACGTAGATGACAAATTGGCATGATCCATTGTTGCCAGCGCTGTCAAATACAAGGCAGGTCACTGTCGTTGTACCCAATGAATAAGTATCATCAGACTCCACGACATTGCCCGCTTCATCTTGACATGTGATGTTGTTTATAGTGAAGTTGTCCACATTATCAGTAGCTGATGGCATTGGTGTCCATGTAACCACAGCAGACGACATTCCGAGGTCTGTGTCCTGAGACGGAACACTATTTGGGCAACTGAGTTCTGGATCTTCGGTGTCTGCAAATAAATCAAAAGCATTTTCTCTTCAATAAATAGCTCTTCTTCAAGTTTTCCAACAGGGGAATTGTCTTCATTTACTTCTTCGTGATTAAAATGTTAACAATATTGCATCAGTTGTAAATTTCTCAACTATCCTTTCATCATTTCTCACTCATTGTGGTCATACGTGTTAAAAAGGCATTTCCGATCCAATTATTTCTCCATGCCGGAAATGTCAAATGTTTCAACAAAACTCACCTACAACGTTGATGACAAATTGGCATGATCCATTGTTGCCAGCGCTGTCAAATACAAGGCAGGTCACTGTCGTTGTACCCAATGAATAAGTACCATCAGACTCCACGACATTGCCCGCTTCATCTTGACATGTGATGTTGTTTATAGTGAAGTTGTCCACATTATCAGTAGCTGATGGCATTGGTGTCCATGTAACCACAGCAGACGACATTCCGAGGTCTGTGTCCTGAGACGGAACACGATTTGGGCAACTAACTTCTGGATCTTCGGTGTCTGCAAATAAATCAAAAGCATTTTCACTTCAATAAATAGCTCTTCTTCAAGTTTTCCAAAAGGGGATTTGTCTTCATTAACTTCTTCGTGATTAAAATGTTTACAATATTGCATCAGTTGTCAATTTCTCAACTATCCTCTCATCATTTCTCACTCATTGTGGTCATACGTGTTGAAAAGGCATTTCCGATCCAATTATTTCTCCATGCCGGAAATGTCAAATGTTTCAACAAAACTCACCTACAACGTTGATGACCAATTGGCATGATCCATTGTTGCCAGCGCTGTCAAATACAAGGCAGGTCACTGTCGTTGTACCCAATGAATAAGTACCATCAGACTCCACGACATTGCCCGCTTCATCTTGACATGTGATGTTGTTTATAGTGAAGTTGTCCACATTATCAGTAGCTGATGGCATTGGTGTCCATGTAACCACAGCAGACGACATGCCGAGGTCTGTGTCCTGAGACGGAACACGATTTGGGCAACTAACTTCTGGATCTTCGGTGTCTGCAAATAAATCAAAAGCATTTTCACTTCAATAAATAGCTCTTCTTCAAGTTTTCCAAAAGGGGAATTGTCTTCATTAACTTCTTCGTGATTAAAATGTTTACAATATTGCATCAGTTGTCAATTTCTCAACTATCCTCTCATCATTTCTCACTCATTGTGGTCATACGTGTTGAAAAGGCATTTCCGATCCAATTATTTCTCCATGCCGGAAATGTCAAATGTTTCAACAAAACTCACCTACAACGTTGATGACAAATTGGCATGATCCATTGTTGCGAGCGCTGTCAAATACAAGGCAGGTCACTGTCGTTGTACCCAATGAATAAGTACCATCAGACTCCACGACATTGCCCGCTTCATCTTGACATGTGATGTTGTTTATAGTGAAGTTGTCCACATTATCAGTAGCTGATGGCATTGGTGTCCATGTAACCACAGCAGACGACATTCCGAGGTCTGTGTTCTGAGACGGAACACTATTTGGGCAACTAACTTCTGGATCTTCGGTGTCTGAAAATAAATCAAAAGCATTTTCACTTCAATAAATAGCTCTTCCTTAAGTTTTCCAAAAGGGGAATTGTCTTCATTAACTTCTTCGTGATTTAAATGTTAAAAATATTGCATCAGTTGTAAATTTCTCAACTATCCTTTCATCATTTCTCACTCATTGTGGCCATACGTGTTAAAAAGGCATTTCCCAACCAATTATTTCTCCATGCCGGAAATGTCAAATGTTTCAACAAAACTCACCTACAACGTTGATGACAAATTGGCATGATCCATTGTTGCCAGCGCTGTCAAATACAAGGCAGGTCACTGTCGTTGTACCCAATGAATAAGTACCATCAGACTCCACGACATTGCCCGCTTCATCTTGACATGTGATGTTGTTTATAGTGAAGTTGTCCACATTATCAGTAGCTGATGGCATTGGTGTCCATGTAATCACAGCAGACGACATTCCGAGGTCTGTGTCCTGAGACGGAACACGATTTGGGCAACTAACTTCTGGATCTTCGGTGTCTGCAAATAAATCAAAAGCATTTTCACTTCAATAAATAGCTCTTCTTCAAGTTTTCCAAAAGGGGATTTGTCTTCATTAACTTCTTCGTGATTAAAATGTTTACAATATTGCATCAGTTGTCAATTTCTCAACTATCCTCTCATCATTTCTCACTCATTGTGTTCATACGTGTTGAAAAGGCATTTCCGATCCAATTATTTCTCCATGCCGGAAATGTCAAATGTTTCAACAAAACTCACCTACAACGTTGATGACAAATTGGCATGATCCATTGTTGCCAGCGCTGTCAAATACTAGGCAGGTCACTGTCGTTGTACCCAATGGATAAGTACCATCAGACTCCACGACATTGCCCGTTTCATCTTGACATGTGATGTTGTTTATAGTGTAGTTGTCCACATTATCAGTGGCTGATGGCATTGGTGTCCATGTAACCACAGCAGACGACATTCCGAGGTCTGTGTCCTGAGACGGAACACTATTTGGGCAACTAACTTCTGGATCTTCAGTGTCTGCAAATAAATCAAAAGCATTTTCACTTCAATAAATAGCTCTTCTTCAAGTTTTCCAAAAGGGGAATTGTCTTCATTAACTTCTTCGTGATTAAAATGTTTACAATATTGCATCAGTTGTCAATTTCTCAACTATCCTCTCATCATTTCTCACTCATTGTGGCCATACGTGTTAAAAAGGCATTTCCCAACCAATTATTTCTCCATGCCGGAAATGTCAAATGTTTCAACAAAACTCACCTACAACGTTGATGACAAATTGGCACGATCCATTGTTGCCAGCGCTGTCAAATACAAGGCAGGTCACTGTCGTTGTACCCAATGAATAAGTACCATCAGACTCCACGACATTGCCCGCTTCATCTTGACATGTGATGTTGTTCATAGTGAAGTTGTCCACATTATCAGTAGCTGATGGCATTGGTGTCCATGTAACCACAGCAGACGACATTCCGAGGTCTGTGTACTGAGACGGAACACTATTTGGGCAACTAACTTCTGGATCTTCGGTGTCTGCAAATAAATCAAAAGCATTTTCACTTCAATAAATAGCTCTTCCTAAGTTTTCCAAAAGGGGAATTGTCTTCATTGACGTCTTCGTGATTAAAATGTTTACAATATTGCATCAGTTGTCAATTTCTCAACTATCCTCTCATCATTTCTCACTCATTGTGGTCATACGTGTTGAAAAGGCATTTCCGATCCAATTATTTCTCCATGCCGGAAATGTCAAATGTTTCAACAAAACTCACCTACAACGTTGATGACAAATTGGCATGATCCATTGTTGCGAGCGCTGTCAAATACAAGGCAGGTCACTGTCGTTGTACCCAATGAATAAGTACCATCAGACTCCACGACATTGCCCGCTTCATCTTGACATGTGATGTTGTTTATAGTGAAGTTGTCCACATTATCAGTAGCTGATGGCATTGGTGTCCATGTAACCACAGCAGACGACATTCCGAGGTCTGTGTTCTGAGACGGAACACTATTGGGGCAACTAACTTCTGGATCTTCGGTGTCTGAAAATAAATCAAAAGCATTTTCACTTCAATAAATAGCTCTTCCTTAAGTTTTCCAAAAGGGGAATTGTCTTCATTAACTTCTTCGTGATTTAAATGTTAAAAATATTGCATCAGTTGTAAATTTCTCAACTATCCTTTCATCATTTCTCACTCATTGTGGCCATACGTGTTAAAAAGGCATTTCCCAACCAATTATTTCTCCATGCCGGAAATGTCAAATGTTTCAACAAAACTCACCTACAACGTTGATGACAAATTGGCATGATCCATTGTTGCCAGCGCTGTCAAATACAAGGCAGGTCACTGTCGTTGTACCCAATGAATAAGTACCATCAGACTCCACGACATTGCCCGCTTCATCTTGACATGTGATGTTGTTTATAGTGAAGTTGTCCACATTATCAGTAGCTGATGGCATTGGTGTCCATGTAATCACAGCAGACGACATTCCGAGGTCTGTGTCCTGAGACGGAACACGATTTGGGCAACTAACTTCTGGATCTTCGGTGTCTGCAAATAAATCAAAAGCATTTTCACTTCAATAAATAGCTCTTCTTCAAGTTTTCCAAAAGGGGATTTGTCTTCATTAACTTCTTCGTGATTAAAATGTTTACAATATTGCATCAGTTGTCAATTTCTCAACTATCCTCTCATCATTTCTCACTCATTGTGTTCATACGTGTTGAAAAGGCATTTCCGATCCAATTATTTCTCCATGCCGGAAATGTCAAATGTTTCAACAAAACTCACCTACAACGTTGATGACAAATTGGCATGATCCATTGTTGCCAGCGCTGTCAAATACTAGGCAGGTCACTGTCGTTGTACCCAATGGATAAGTACCATCAGACTCCACGACATTGCCCGTTTCATCTTGACATGTAATGTTGTTTATAGTGTAGTTGTCCACATTATCAGTGGCTGATGGCATTGGTGTCCATGTAACCACAGCAGACGACATTCCGAGGTCTGTGTCCTGAGACGGAACACTATTTGGGCAACTAACTTCTGGATCTTCAGTGTCTGCAAATAAATCAAAAGCATTTTCACTTCAATAAATAGCTCTTCTTCAAGTTTTCCAAAAGGGGAATTGTCTTCATTAACTTCTTCGTGATTAAAATGTTTACAATATTGCATCAGTTGTCAATTTCTCAACTATCCTCTCATCATTTCTCACTCATTGTGGCCATACGTGTTAAAAAGGCATTTCCCAACCAATTATTTCTCCATGCCGGAAATGTCAAATGTTTCAACAAAACTCACCTACAACGTTGATGACAAATTGGCACGATCCATTGTTGCCAGCGCTGTCAAATACAAGGCAGGTCACTGTCGTTGTACCCAATGAATAAGTACCATCAGACTCCACGACATTGCCCGCTTCATCTTGACATGTGATGTTGTTCATAGTGAAGTTGTCCACATTATCAGTAGCTGATGGCATTGGTGTCCATGTAACCACAGCAGACGACATTCCGAGGTCTGTGTACTGAGACGGAACACTATTTGGGCAACTAACTTCTGGATCTTCGGTGTCTGCAAATAAATCAAAAGCATTTTCACTTCAATAAATAGCTCTTCCTAAGTTTTCCAAAAGGGGAATTGTCTTCATTGACGTCTTCGTGATTAAAATGTTTACAATATTGCATCAGTTGTCAATTTCTCAACTATCCTCTCATCATTTCTCACTCATTGTGGTCATACGTGTTGAAAAGGCATTTCCGATCCAATTATTTCTCCATGCCGGAAATGTCAAATGTTTCAACAAAACTCACCTACAACGTTGATGACAAATTGGCATGATCCATTGTTGCCAGCGCTGTCAAATACAAGGCAGGTCACTGTCGTTGTACCCAATGAATAAGTACCATCAGACTCCACGACATTGCCCGCTTCATCTTGACAGGTGATGTTGTTTATAGTGAAGTTGTCCACATTATCAGTAGCTGATGGCATTGGTGTCCATGTAACCACAGCAGACGACATTCCGAGGTCTGTGTCCTGAGACGGAACACGATTTGGGCAACTAACTTCTGGATCTTCGGTGTCTGCAAATAAATCAAAAGCATTTTCACTTCAATAAATAGCTCTTCTTCAAGTTTTCCAAAAGGGGAATTGTCTTCATTAACTTCTTCGTGATTAAAATGTTTAGAATATTGCATCAGTTGTAAATTTCTCAACTATCCTCTCATCATTTCTCACTCATTGTGGTCATACGTGTTGAAAAGGCACTTCCGATCCAATTATTTCTCCATGCCGGAAATGTCAAATGTTTCAACAAAACTCACCTACAACATTGATGACAAATTGGCATGATCCATTGTTGCCAGCGCTGTCAAATACAAGGCAGGTCACTGTCGTTGTACCCAATGAATAAGTACCATCAGACTCCACGACATTGCCCGATTCATCTTGACATGTGATGTTGTTTATAGTGAAGTTGTCCACATTATCAGTAGCTGATGGCATTGGTGTCCATGTAACCACAGCAGACGACATTCCGAGGTCTGTGTCCTGAGACGGAACACGATTTGGGCAACTAACTTCTGGATCTTCGGTGTCTGCAAATAAATCAAAAGCATTTTCACTTCAATAAATAGCTCTTCTTCAAGTTTTCCAAAAGGGGATTTGTCTTCATTAACTTCTTCGTGATTAAAATGTTTACAATATTGCATCAGTTGTCAATTTCTCAACTATCCTCTCATCATTTCTCACTCATTGTGTTCATACGTGTTGAAAAGGCATTTCCGATCCAATTATTTCTCCATGCCGGAAATGTCAAATGTTTCAGCAAAACTCACCTACAACGTTCATGACAAATTGGCATGATCCATTGTTGCCAGCGCTGTCAAATACTAGGCAGGTCACTGTCGTTGTACCCAATGGATAAGTACCATCAGACTCCACGACATTGCCCGTTTCATCTTGACATGTGATGTTGTTTATAGTGTAGTTGTCCACATTATCAGTAGCTGATGGCATTGGTGTCCATGTAACCACAGCAGACGACATTCCGAGGTCTGTGTCCTGAGACGGAACACTATTTGGGCAACTAACTTCTGGATCTTCAGTGTCTGCAAATAAATCAAAAGCATTTTCACTTCAATAAATAGCTCTTCTTCAAGTTTTCCAAAAGGGGAATTGTCTTCATTAACTTCTTCGTGATTAAAATGTTTACAATATTGCATCAGTTGTCAATTTCTCAACTATCCTCTCATCATTTCTCACTCATTGTGGTCATACGTGTTGAAAAGGCATTTCCGATCCAATTATTTCTCCATGCCGGAAATGTCAAATGTTTCAACAAAACTCACCTACAACGTTGATGACAAATTGGCATGATCCATTGTTGCGAGCGCTGTCAAATACAAGGCAGGTCACTGTCGTTGTACCCAATGAATAAGTACCATCAGACTCCACGACATTGCCCGCTTCATCTTGACATGTGATGTTGTTCATAGTGAAGTTGTCCACATTATCAGTAGCTGATGGCATTGGTGTCCATGTAACCACAGCAGACGACATTCCGAGGTCTGTGTACTGAGACGGAACACTATTTGGGCAACTAACTTCTGGATCTTCGGTGTCTGCAAATAAATCAAAAGCATTTTCACTTCAATAAATAGCTCTTCCTAAGTTTTCCAAAAGGGGAATTGTCTTCATTGACGTCTTCGTGATTAAAATGTTTACAATATTGCATCAGTTGTCAATTTCTCAACTATCCTCTCATCATTTCTCACTCATTGTGGTCATACGTGTTGAAAAGGCATTTCCGATCCAATTATTTCTCCATGCCGGAAATGTCAAATGTTTCAACAAAACTCACCTACAACGTTGATGACAAATTGGCATGATCCATTGTTGCCAGCGCTGTCAAATACAAGGCAGGTCACTGTCGTTGTACCCAATGAATAAGTACCATCAGACTCCACGACATTGCCCGCTTCATCTTGACAGGTGATGTTGTTTATAGTGAAGTTGTCCACATTATCAGTAGCTGATGGCATTGGTGTCCATGTAACCACAGCAGACGACATTCCGAGGTCTGTGTCCTGAGACGGAACACGATTTGGGCAACTAACTTCTGGATCTTCGGTGTCTGCAAATAAATCAAAAGCATTTTCACTTCAATAAATAGCTCTTCTTCAAGTTTTCCAAAAGGGGAATTGTCTTCATTAACTTCTTCGTGATTAAAATGTTTAGAATATTGCATCAGTTGTAAATTTCTCAACTATCCTCTCATCATTTCTCACTCATTGTGGTCATACGTGTTGAAAAGGCACTTCCGATCCAATTATTTCTCCATGCCGGAAATGTCAAATGTTTCAACAAAACTCACCTACAACGTTGATGACAAATTGGCATGATCCATTGTTGCCAGCGCTGTCAAATACAAGGCAGGTCACTGTCGTTGTACCCAATGAATAAGTACCATCAGACTCCACGACATTGCCCGATTCATCTTGACATGTGATGTTGTTTATAGTGAAGTTGTCCACATTATCAGTAGCTGATGGCATTGGTGTCCATGTAACCACAGCAGACGACATTCCGAGGTCTGTGTCCTGAGACGGAACACGATTTGGGCAACTAACTTCTGGATCTTCGGTGTCTGCAAATAAATCAAAAGCATTTTCACTTCAATAAATAGCTCTTCTTCAAGTTTTCCAAAAGGGGATTTGTCTTCATTAACTTCTTCGTGATTAAAATGTTTACAATATTGCATCAGTTGTCAATTTCTCAACTATCCTCTCATCATTTCTCACTCATTGTGTTCATACGTGTTGAAAAGGCATTTCCGATCCAATTATTTCTCCATGCCGGAAATGTCAAATGTTTCAGCAAAACTCACCTACAACGTTCATGACAAATTGGCATGATCCATTGTTGCCAGCGCTGTCAAATACTAGGCAGGTCACTGTCGTTGTACCCAATGGATAAGTACCATCAGACTCCACGACATTGCCCGTTTCATCTTGACATGTGATGTTGTTTATAGTGTAGTTGTCCACATTATCAGTAGCTGATGGCATTGGTGTCCATGTAACCACAGCAGACGACATTCCGAGGTCTGTGTCCTGAGACGGAACACTATTTGGGCAACTAACTTCTGGATCTTCAGTGTCTGCAAATAAATCAAAAGCATTTTCACTTCAATAAATAGCTCTTCTTCAAGTTTTCCAAAAGGGGAATTGTCTTCATTAACTTCTTCGTGATTAAAATGTTTACAATATTGCATCAGTTGTAAATTTCTCAACTATCCTCTCATCATTTCTCACTCATTGTGGTCATACGTGTTGAAAAGGCATTTCCGATCCAATTATTTCTCCATGCCGGAAAAGTCAAATGTTTCAACAAAACTCACCTACAACGTTGATGACAAAATGGCATGATCCATTGTTGCCAGCGCTGTCAAATACAAGGCAGGTCACTGTCGTTGTACCCAATGAATAAGTACCATCAGACTCCACGACATTGCCCGCTTCATCTTGACATGTGATGTTGTTCATAGTGAAGTTGTCCACATTATCAGTAGCTGATGGCATTGGTGTCCATGTAACCACAGCAGACGACATTCCGAGGTCTGTGTACTGAGACGGAACACTATTTGGGCAACTAACTTCTGGATCTTCGGTGTCTGCAAATAAATCAAAAGCATTTTCACTTCAATAAATTGCTCTTCCTAAGTTTTCCAAAAGGGGAATTGTCTTCATTGACGTCTTCGTGATTAAAATGTTTACAATATTGCATCAGTTGTCAATTTCTCAACTATCCTCTCATCATTTCTCACTCATTGTGGTCATACGTGTTGAAAAGGCATTTCCGATCCAATTATTTCTCCATGCCGGAAATGTCAAATGTTTCAACAAAACTCACCTACAACGTTGATGACAAATTGGCATGATCCATTGTTGCGAGCGCTGTCAAATACAAGGCAGGTCACTGTCGTTGTACCCAATGAATAAGTACCATCAGACTCCACGACATTGCCCGCTTCATCTTGACATGTGATGTTGTTTATAGTGAAGTTGTCCACATTATCAGTAGCTGATGGCATTGGTGTCCATGTAACCACAGCAGACGACATGCCGAGGTCTGTGTCCTGAGACGGAACACGATTTGGGCAACTGACTTCTGGATCTTCGGTGTCTGCAAATAAATCAAAAGCATTTTCACTTCAATAAATAGCTCTTCCTAAGTTTTCCAAAAGGGGAATTGTCTTCATTAACTTCTTCGTGATTAAAATGTTTACAATATTGCATCAGTTGTAAATTTCTCAACTATCCTCTCATCATTTCTCACTCATTGTGGTCATACGTGTTGAAAAGGCATTTCCGATCCAATTATTTCTCCATGCCGGAAATGTCAAATGTTTCAACAAAACTCACCTACAACGTTGATGACAAATTGGCATGATCCATTGTTGCCAGCGCTGTCATATACAAGGCAGGTCACTGTCGTTGTACCCAATGAATAAGTACCATCAGACTCCACGACATTGCCCGCTTCATCTTGACATGTGATGTTGTTTATAGTGAAGTTGTCCACATTATCAGTAGCTGATGGCATTGGTGTCCATGTAACCACAGCAGACGACATTCCGAGGTCTGTGTCCTGAGACGGAACACGATTTGGGCAACTAACTTCTGGATCTTCGGTGTCTGCAAATAAATCAAAAGCATTTTCACTTCAATAAATAGCTCTTCTTCAAGTTTTCCAAAAGGGGAATTGTCTTCATTAACTTCTTCGTGATTAAAATGTTTACAATATTGCATCAGTTGTAAATTTCTCAACTATCCTCTCATCATTTCTCACTCATTGTGGTCATACGTGTTGAAAAGGCATTTCCGATCCAATTATTTCTCCATGCCGGAAATGTCAAATGTTTCAACAAAACTCACCTACAACGTTGATGACAAAATGGCATGATCCATTGTTGCCAGTGCTGTCAAATACAAGGCAGGTCACTGTCGTTGTACCCAATGAATAAGTACCATCAGACTCCACGACATTGCCCGCTTCATCTTGACATGTGATGTTGTTCATAGTGAAGTTGTCCACATTATCAGTAGCTGATGGCATTGGTGTCCATGTAACCACAGCAGACGACATTCCGAGGTCTGTGTACTGAGACGGAACACTATTTGGGCAACTAACTTCTGGATCTTCGGTGTCTGCAAATAAATCAAAAGCATTTTCACTTCAATAAATTGCTCTTCCTAAGTTTTCCAAAAGGGGAATTGTCTTCATTGACGTCTTCGTGATTAAAATGTTTACAATATTGCATCAGTTGTAAATTTCTCAACTATCCTCTCATCATTTCTCACTCATTGTGGTCATACGTGTTGAAAAGGCATTTCCGATCCAATTATTTCTCCATGCCGGAAATGTCAAATGTTTCAACAAAACTCACCTACAACGTTGATGACAAATTGGCATGATCCATTGTTGCCAGCGCTGTCAAATACAAGGCAGGTCACTGTCGTTGTACCCAATGAATAAGTACCATCAGACTCCACGACATTGCCCGCTTCATCTTGACATGTGATGTTGTTCATAGTGAAGTTGTCCACATTATCAGTAGCTGATGGCATTGGTGTCCATGTAACCACAGCAGACGACATTCCGAGGTCTGTGTACTGAGACGGAACACTATTTGGGCAACTAACTTCTGGATCTTCGGTGTCTGCAAATAAATCAAAAGCATTTTCACTTCAATAAATTGCTCTTCCTAAGTTTTCCAAAAGGGGAATTGTCTTCATTGACGTCTTCGTGATTAAAATGTTTACAATATTGCATCAGTTGTCAATTTCTCAACTATCCTCTCATCATTTCTCACTCATTGTGGTCATACGTGTTGAAAAGGCATTTCCGATCCAATTATTTCTCCATGCCGGAAATGTCAAATGTTTCAACAAAACTCACCTACAACGTTGATGACAAATTGGCATGATCCATTGTTGCCAGCGCTGTCAAATACAAGGCAGGTCACTGTCGTTGTACCCAATGAATAAGTACCATCAGACTCCACGACATTGCCCGCTTCATCTTGACAGATGATGTTGTTTATAGTGAAGTTGTCCACATTATCAGTAGCTGATGGCATTGGTGTCCATGTAACCACAGCAGACGACATTCCGAGGTCTGTGTCCTGAGACGGAACACTATTTGGGCAACTAACTTCTGGATCTTCGGTGTCTGCAAATAAATCAAAAGCATTTTCACTTCAATAAATAGCTCTTCTTCAAGTTTTCCAAAAGGGAAATTGTCTTCATTAACTTCTTCGTGATTAAAATGTTTACAATATTGCATCAGTTGTAAATTTCTCAACTATCCTCTCATCATTTCTCACTCATTGTGGTCATACGTGTTGAAAAGGCACTTCCGATCCAATTATTTCTCCATGCCGGAAATGTCAAATGTTTCAACAAAACTCACCTACAACGTTGATGACAAATTGGCATGATCCATTGTTGCCAGCGCTGTCAAATACAAGGCAGGTCACTGTCGTTGTACCCAATGAATAAGTACCATCAGACTCCACGACATTGCCCGATTCATCTTGACATGTGATGTTGTTTATAGTGAAGTTGTCCACATTATCAGTAGCTGATGGCATTGGTGTCCATGTAACCACAGCAGACGACATTCCGAGGTCTGTGTCCTGAGACGGAACACGATTTGGGCAACTGACTTCTGGATCTTCGGTGTCTGCAAATAAATCAAAAGCATTTTCACTTCAATAAATAGCTCTTCTTCAAGTTTTCCAAAAGGGGAATTGTCTTCATTAACTTCTTCGTGATTAAAATGTTTACAATATTGCATCACTGTAAATTTCTCAACTATCCTCTCATCATTTCTCACTCATTGTGGTCATACGTGTTGAAAAGGCATTTCCGATCCAATTATTTCCCCTTGCCGGAAATGGCAAATGTTTCAACAAAACTCATCTACAACATTGATGACAAATTGGCATGATCCATTGTTGTGATCTACGGTGTCTGCAAATTGAGTAAAAGTTTCATTTACTTATGTTAGGAACTGAACTATAAATTTTTCAAGGATTATTTCCAATAGGTCGGCGCTGAAACACGTTCCCACGAAATAATAAAATATATTTTAACACTTTTAAATTCCATGGAAAGATATCGATATCGTTGCGGAACGTCATTGGCTCAATTACTTATTGAGGTTTTGAATTTGCACCTACATACTATATACTATATAAGGTGCAAATTATTTAGTGAATAACTTTTTAAGGAGTTTTTATCCCATAGTAAGCACACCACGAAAGCATATACAGGGTGAGTCAAAATAAGCGGAACCCAAACCCCCAAAATTATATTTTATCTTTAAAAACATATTGAGAACCCAAACCAAATGACTGGAAGCCAATTTCATAAGCTGCTTTTAGATGAAAAACTTACTGAAATTGATCAATCTGTTCAACGAATATCACCATTTAAACACAATGACCCCAAAACCTGTCTCGTCCAAAAAAAAATATTTCAAGAATCGTCGTCACAATTGTCTTAAACATCACCAGCGATAAAATCTCAGTTTAAACGTTGAAAATATTCAACAAAGTCCTGCTGAATGCCAATCTTTTTTTAAGTGGATTTTATAAATTATGTTGTTTGCCTATAAACCAGGGTTGTTCATTAATTTGTTTTGTACTACAGTTGGTGACAGTTGTTGAGACAAGTATTCTGTGCCACTTTCTTTGTTGTTCCAACAGTCAAAACACTCAATAAACTGCTTTTTAAAGACGAGACAGGTTTTAGGGTCATTGCGTGTTAATGGTGATATTCTTTGACCGGATTGAGCAATTTCAGTATTTTGTTTTCACCTAAAAGTAGCTCATGAAATTGGCTTTCCAGTCATTATTATTTTTGGTGCTACTTATTTTTTTTAACCCTAAAGGGGCCTGGGGCGGAATCCGCCCTCCCCCCTTTTTTTTCCGAGATAGCCTTGAGAAGAAAAAAAATCACGATGACTGAGCGTTATGACTTTTTAGCCTCGAGCTCTGCGCATCTTTTGATACCAAAAACATAAAAATCGAACTGAATCGAACTGAATTTCCTCATATACGTAGTGTACACAGAGCAGAATTACCATTCGTGCATATGAATAGTTAATTAGCCATAATTCCAAAACCCTTTGACCTATAGTCATGAAATTTCGTGGGTACGTTTATGATAAGTTGTTCTATGCATATACTGAGTTTCATAATTTTTCGTCGCTCGATGGTTGAGATTTTGGGCGCCCCCCCCCCCCCCCCCCGGCTGACAGCTGGTTAAAAATGCCCGGCCTTTTTAGGGTTAAATAAGAAATGTATTTTGGGGGGTTTGGGTTCCGCTTTTTCTGACTCACCATGTATGCTTACTTTTTGGAGAAACTGTGGTGCGTTTTTTCTACCAGAGTGTGTCACGAAGTGAAATTAAGTTGATGTGAGAAATAACTCTTCGTTGTAAATAATTGAGAAACATAATTTGTTATGCCATATTGCTAAACTCTGTCGGTGCCATTATTTTGAGTCTGTAAGAGAAACAGAATATTGAGTTTATTTGGCCAGTGCGCCTGCAACGTTATACAATATTGTCATGTAAATCAGTTAGTTTCGCGGGAAGAGAATACAGTTTCACCATTGGTCAGTTACATTATCGCTTGAGTAGATGCTTACCATGGTTAAAGAACAATAGGTTTGGGTAGTCACGGATACAGACATTTTCGCGGGGTTTGGATATTTTTGAGGCGGAGAGGAAAATGTTCTGGGTGTGAAGCACTTGCGTCTGAGATTACCGAGGAGAGGGCAAGCTTTGCCAGCCTCGATGATTTTTGAATTATATTGAGATTTACCAGCCACATTGAGCTGAAGGACGTCTAGTCAATAGCGGTTTACATGAGTGCTATCGGTAGCCGATTTTGTCATCCTCTGATCGCCTGAAATACGCCATAAACCATTTGCAAGAGACTCAAGAGTTCGAGAACCAGGTTTGCCATCCAACCTGTAAGTTTATTTGATAATTGGGAATACGTGATTCGTGGCTAAATCGACTAAATTCAAAGAATATCTGTAATGAGACATGAAATAGCCGACATTTTTTAAATAGTCGTTGAGTTGTGATAATTGCTTGGAGTAGCCTGAGTTTGCATGATTTGAGTTATAAGCATAAATTTGCGCAAGGTTCAGTATAACTATTTTGCAGATATACTTGGTGCTTAGAGTGGGAACATTTGTGCTTTTACAGCGGCGGCGGAATGGTTTTCAAACTGGGTGGGGGGGGGGAGGGGGTCATCACCGTAAAGGGGCACTTGCTAATTTTTTTTTTTGGGGGGGGGGGGCACATCCGTGCTGAAAGGTTGACACGTATTTTCACCGGACACTTGGCCTCCGTAAGGGGGGGGGGGCTGGTCATTATGCAGCATAATGTGCCCATTTTCAGGGCGCATTGTGAGGCTTTTGGGGCTTGGTTTTCATATTCGTCGTTCATATCAAAACTATCTATACCATTTTGGGAAATGGTTACTTCAAACAAATGTCGACAAATTGTAGGGCATTTTTTTCTCACTCTCGAGGGGGCACATTTATGCTCCAGGGGGCACATTTAGGTCCGCAAATGGGGCACTTGGGTAAATCGGGGGCAAGTTTCTCCCCCCCCCCCCCTTGTTCCGCCGCCCCTGGCTACTATATTCAGGGTTCTTTTGTGTGACGGACTGGTTGTCCAGTCTCCAGTCAAGGCCGTGTATGGCAGGACTCTAGTCCATAGATCGAGGGAGGGCCAGGAGGTTGAGCCGCTGTGCAGTGCTCGCCAGACAGACTGCATCGAACCCAAGGGTACACCTCATCAGGCCAACCTGAAGCCAGATATCCGGCAAACCAATCATCAACCCAGCGGTCCGCAATGGGCTCCGTGCGCCGCAAGAGGGCGCCCTTTTACCTAGCAACGACGTCCCATGGGGATGCATACCTGCAAATAAACTCCCATAGACACTAGTGCTAAATGCCCATACTTTCTTTAAAATTCTTTTAAAACTCAAAAATACTCAAAACTCTCACAGGTATTCAAGCTGCACAGAAAAATGATAATCGACATGTCATCTTTCGTTTTCTTTTCAATTTTTGGTGGGTTGACCATTGACTTTTCGAGATATTTTCACCCAAAGAAGACAACCCCTATTTTCCCCAAAGCGGAAAAGTAGCTATCTTGAAAAACGATCCCTCAACAACATGGCAAAATAGCGCCACTTTCGAGCCCAATAGCATCCAAAATGCTCAGAATTGGAAGCCCCAAGTCCGGGCCAGAGGTTCATTACCATATCTCTTCAATTCCCCAATTTTACGGAGCTCAGAACTCTCTAATATAGAATATTTTGAGGGTATAACTTTTATTCATGAGCTTGGCTGATCGATTTACCGGTGTGCACCCATGGGTGGGACATTTCGCTGGTTGACGCGTACCGCTCCTTGTGTGTGACGCACATACACCAGGGGATTTGTAATGTACACGCAGTGGCCGCGCTTCGTGGCAAACGAATAGACCTTTCTTTTGTTTGTAAACATTGGCGCCATTTTATATGGGCTGCCGCAAGCGCATATATTGAAGCCGTGGTTGGCAACATGTTTTTCCCAAAAAAAATCCCCCAACGCCCTCAATGCAAAGTAAAAAGGCATGTTTAGGAATTATGTTGTAGCTTGTTGACAATGTTGTATTTCCAACAATCAAATAATATTTTGGTTATCTGTAATAACTCTTCTTTATTTTTGCAGTGTTGGGCCTTCCATAGTTTTGCAACCCGTGGTTGGCAAAAATGCAGTTTGCCAACCAAGCGTAGAAAGGTCTATTGCAGTCAGGCAAGATCTCGTCGTTCGGTCACCCCCAACTGTTCTCTCTTTGCCGGTGAGGGGGTACTTGGGAACGGAGCGGATATCCTTGAGTCGAATCGTCGCTACGTGTTTTATTAGAGAATTTGTGTTTGATAACATTGAGTCATAAATTGGTAGAATTCATTTCACAAAATCCCGGGAGTAGTCAAGAGTGTAAATAATTTGTAAATGATTTGTAAATAAATTGGTAGAGCTGTTAGTGTACATAGGTTACCTTGGTCATCTTGTGCTATTATTTTGTGTGACTGTAAGTTACTGTGGTGATCTACCCTACTATAATTCTAGGGCTGGGGTCCAGTCCTTGATTAAACACGGATGAAAGCTGGATACCAATCAATCACTTCTCGATCACTACGGTTTATTACCAATCGGATGCTTAGTCATATCATGGAGGTAGGAATAGAAAACCCCCAAAACAAAACCCCCAGGGTCAGTCAGTCCCAAATGTTAGGATGTCTCAATGCATGTACTTGGAGTGGTGTACATTCTGTATTCCTGGAACTTTAGTCCCCCGAAATTGTACCATTCTGTCTCACTTCAGGAAGCAGGGTTGTCATTCCTGAGTTCCTGACATTAGCGTACAGCATTCTCCTACATGTGTCCGAATTTCTCATCGATCGCCCACTCGAGCTCTCCGAAAATTATTTCTCATTGAGGGAAGTCCCTCCGCACGCAATCGCGGTGCCATAGAGAAAAAGCTCTCACGATAAACACACCATACACGAAAGGCACGTACATAAGCATCATAATGACCCAAGGAGATATGCACATCAGTTTACATTAGTTACAATCAATAACCTTTAAAACAAGCAGTGGAGATAATAAATATCTTTAACAAATTGAATGTTTGAGTTTGAGATACTCATGCAGCATCCTTACTCTAACTTGGACCCGCTCTTGTGATCACATTTGTAATCAAAAGTAAACTTAAATGAAAAGCTATAGACAATCTTTCTTTGTTCTCTCATTTAAAGTGGAAA